CTGTGGGGGATGTTAACGGCGGCATCATTGCTAGTGATAGCTTTTAATACAGCCGTGACTTGGGAATTCTGTTTCCTGAATTGAAAATTGCCAGAGGTCGGGGTGAGGAGGGGAAGAGCAGCCAAGCATCAGCCCTGCTCCCCATCTGCATATTCTGCTGTGCCTGCCCTGCTTAAGGTTGAGAGTGGCTGCTTCTCCTGGCCGCAACTTGGACGGCTTCTTTCCCTTGCTGCAGCTTCCCTGAGCCCTCAGATCCTGTGCGTGCTTGTGAATCTGGATTTGCTGGCAGACTCTGAGCTGTATCCCAGCGTAACCCTGCGGGAAAGCTGAGCCGAACCGTTACACCGGAAGCTCTGCCGTTGGAGCCGCTGCCATGGGAATGACTGCCAGATGTTAATGGTGACCAGCTTTCATGACCCTCCGCAGCTTTAGTTAACCCTTTCTCTGGAGGCCTGTGCTTGAGGGGGCCTGGCTGTAGTAGAAGGGATTACATTTCCCAGATTCTTGTGTGAGTGGTCCCATCTGGAACAGGGTTGTGAATTTCACCTCCTTTAATACGTTATGCCGAAGACAAAACCGCTGCGGTCTCAACAAGCTGCACGGGAAATGAGGGGCCAAGCTAGGAGTGTATTCTTTCCTCCCCTCCACCGCATGACGCTTCTGCGCTCACTTTCGCTGTCCCCCCGAAAGCATGGCTTTTTTTTCTCTTCGTTTTCTTTCCTTGGAAGGTTCTGCTGTTTTCTGCTGTTTTACAGGCTTGGGAATAGGTTTTGCTTTATGCCCAGCTGCAGAGCAGGCCTGGAAAGCAATTTTAAAAGAGTTGCACTCTTGTTTCATGGTTCCAGGTTCTCGCATAAACAGGTGCTTGGCATTTTATTTATTCATTCATATATTTAAAGTTCTGCATCCCTGCATTGAGGAAAAATGCTCTCTAAGCTTCGGGTTTTTACTAGTTGGCTGCCACTCTCATGTAATAATGCGTTCCAGGTGACTGGATTTTGAGCTTTTCGCAGTAATTGATGGTTATTTCCTTTGGGCCACAAAATTAGGTGCCTTGGAATATTTAGGCAAGCAGGCTCTCAGACTTACCTGGGAGGGTGTGGTATTTCTCGGACGCCCTGCGTGGTCCCTGTGACACACCAGCTCCCACCTGCCTCCTGCCTTAAGATTATTAAGGTTCCTCCAGTTATTCCTCTTCAGCTTTTCAGAAGTGTGTGTCTTCTTACTCCCCCTGTAAGTGAATTCACTTTGTGAATGTGAAGTGCTCCCCCCACCCCATTTTGTGAGATCACCCACAGCCGTGCCTCCCAATCCCAAGTACATCCATCATGCCTAAAAATTTGGGGACCCCGGCCATTGTTGGTGCTGGAGGTTGGCATGTGCCCCGTGCTTGCAGAAAGAGCTCATGGGACGGATAAGTGTGGTTTGGTTGACTCGTTGGAGTGACTCATTTGGGCCAAACTGCTGAAGCAATTCTGGCCTCACTGATCTGGGCAAAAGCTGCAAGGAAACATAGGGAAGCTCCTCGGCCCGGAATCATCTGTGGTTTATGTTGGTTGCCCAAAACATTCCCTTGGGTGCCATCCTAAAGCTCTTGGTAGCTATAATCTCCCCACCAGTTTAATGAGTAGCTTCTTTTTCCCTCCCTCGCCCACGTTTCCCCTCCATTTAGGCTGCAGAAATGTGCATTTAGTCTTTGAAACGAAGTAAGAGTGTCCTGGCCGGGACATGCGTCCCTCGCTTCTCTTTCCCAAGGTGCACGCCTCCCCTTTTGCTCCTCAGCAGGGTGGCTTCTGATGTGACTTTTTGGATGGTTGCAGCCTGAGAAGCTGGAGGTCGTTTCACGGAAACCTGCCAGCCCTTCTCCTGCTGCGTCTCAGGGATTTGCCCCCTAATGCTTGCGAGCTCATGTTTGGCTCACAACGCCCGCCATGGACGAATTGGCTCACCAGATTAGCTCATTAGGAAGCTTCAGGCAGCAGTATGTGGGAGGTGGAATTACGAAGCAAGCCTCCCAAACCTGCTGCTCAGCACCACCGAGCTGACAGTCTGCAGGATCCTCTTCCTTACCCCCGCCAGCTGTTGGGCCAGAATCAGAAGTGCTCACCACCCCATTCCAACGAGGCTGGCCTTCAGAGAAGGTAGAACGATCTAAGCGCACGAGGAAGCCGGTCCCACGCTTTGTGATGGAGGAAACGAAACCCAGATATCTAGAACACAGGCTGGGTTGTTTATCCAGGAGGAAAGGTAGGGTTTGACCTCGGCCTGTTGTGACAGCATCATTTTTTTTATCCCTCCATTCATCTGTTTTGGGCACCATCTGTCGTTCAAGGCTCCCTGTTGACCTTGGTTCAGTTTCCAGTTCTTTAGATCAGCGTTTCGTAAAGGCATTAAAAAAGCCCTCTTCCCTCAGTCATCCCAGATTGTGTGGTAGCCAAAGGTCACCTGGTTTGAGCTACCCCTATTCTTTCTGGTGTGCTTTTATGGCTTAGTATGAGCAAACAGGCGGTGTCCTTCCCCGAAACTGCTTTATCAAGCGACTGGTCATTGCTTCTGAAGCAATGTGTTGTTAGAGTTGTATGTCTCTACTAGTGTCCCCTTTCCCCTTCCCTCCCCACTTCAGCTTCAGATTATCAATTCTGAGCACCTCAGGGCTGGTATAGGTATTACACGTGCCTGCAGGTATCCTGTAGGATTGGCAAGGCTCCTGTGGACGCCATGCCCAGGCATTCTGGGAATCTGGGCCGTGCTCCACGACTTGCTGACTTGATCGGTTCCTGGCCAGCTCTCAGTGGGCTGCTCTTGCGAAGTAGCTCTCAGGTTGTGCCCTTGGTCCCATAATGAGTTGTGTTTTCCAGGACTGGAAGACACATGAAACCATAATGGTACTGCAAAACCACAGAACAGTCTGGGAGGGTTCACACATCATCATCATTAAAAGCTTTTGTATGCCATCCTATTATACAAGATCTCAGGACGGCTTGCAATATTTAAAAACAATTAAAAACAGCAATTTCAATAAATAATAAAGAGAACAAAACAATAAATCACAAAACAGAGTGACTAACCTTAAACAAGCCATGGTGGTTTCCTGTGCAAGGTGCTCTGTCATGCTGTCCAAACCCCATTGTAGCTTTTCAGAAAGATACATTTGCTCCTTAGCAAGCACGATAAGAAACAACAATCTCTTCAGCATGGTTTCTCTGATCGTCTGAACCTGACATCATGGTTTCCATGGTCCTGTCATGGAGTCCCTTGATAGGAACAGCTGCTGCCGCAACACCTGCTCCTGCTGTCCAACCTGGGATTGAATTTCAGGCATGGTGGCTGATGGGATACATGCCAACAGCAGGAGGACTGAGCAAGGAAGGCGGAAACCACGCTAACGTGGAAACCACTTAATCCTTTGTTAGGCACATCCAAGCAAAAAACTGCATTCCACGGAGAACACACTGGGTTGTTTGTTGTGGCATATCCATCCAGCCAGTGTTGCTTCTGTTCTAAAAGTTGCTAAAAGCCAAACACATCACACTGAAATACCACGATGGGGTTCAGACAACGCTGCTGACCAACAATACTAAAATTCCGCCTTGGCTTGTTGTGCCGTGCGAACCTTCCCATGGTCTTTTGTCTCCCCTTGGGGAGAGAATGGATGCATCGCTTGCCCAGGCCACTGGGAGAGCAAGAGCGTCCCCGGCCTGTTCGGGGAACCAGTTCGGCCACGGGGAAGGGGAGGGCAAGCTTGGTTTGCCCTGCTTGTATTCTGCGTCCAGAGTTCATCATTGCATTCAGAGAAGGGTATCTTGGACGCAGGTTTACTTTCTAACTAACGATGCTTGAACCTGGAAGCAGTGAAGCGCCTGGCTGGACCAGGCCCCTGGGACTAATGCACAGGGAGAGCGCAGAGTTGCAAAGAAAGAGCACCATTCTGGTCGCTGCCAAGGTGCAGGCTACGCACTTGTGTTGTTTCCACGCAGTGTTGTGCCACCATGGCAGCATCTGGTGACAGGTCGGTGGGGTGGGCCAAACTCAACTTGCATGCAACTTTCTCCTCTCTTAAAATCAGAAGAAATCCCCTTGTAATATTGTGTGCGTACGTGCATACACGTGCAGTATGATGAGTTGAGATTTAACTATTTCTCTCATCTGTCATTTGCTCACTCAAAATTGCCTGCCCAAGCAGCTTTCTCCTCTGTAGGGAAAACGGTTTAGGCTCCAAAAGACTGAAATGCAGCAACAGGAGCGAGCGAGCTTGTGACTAAAAATAGCTGGCAGGGAAAAGACGGAAGCCGGTCCCTGCACCCGTGCTTGGCTCCAGCCTCCTGAGGGTTGCTTTGGTTGCTTGCTTGCTTGGCTTTAAATTGGAAGTAAATTGCATGCATAGGTGTGTTAAGGACTGAGCTTCAAAAGGAGTGACTCGAGCTGTCACGGACTCCGATTTCACCTGCACACCTGCAACGTTCCGCATCTCCCTATCAGAGAGGCTCCTGTTAGGTGGGATGAAAACAGCAAGTAACTCAATTCCTGGAATAGCTGAAAGCAAATGTTCTCCATTCCTCGTCACGGCAGATATTAGAATGTGCGCCCTGCCGTTTTGGGTGGGGGGAAGCAGAGCTGCTCGTGAATCTGGAAGGGTGTCCCTTGACTGTAGGACCGAGGCATGAGCTGGAGATGCTCCAGTCATGTGCACATGTTCAGACGTGGTTTTGAAGGGTGGTCACACTGGCAGGTGCTGGTGAGACATGCACACCCTCCTGCCAGTATTAAACGGCACGCTGTTCTTAGAGAGGAGTTTGCATGTCCCAAAACAGACCTGATTCGCTTCAATTGCTGCTGCTGCTTTCACAGTTTTTGATGCCGCCATTTGCTGCCAAACCCCTGGGGACTTGGGAGATTTCCTGAGTCATCCCGAAATCCTAGTGTATCACCTTGAGATGTGGAATGAAATGAGGCATGTTTGTTCCCCGGAAGCTCACTGTGTGTATCTTCTCCTCCTGCAGGAATTGATAGCCGGTATAATGAAGGCTGCCGGGAACTGGCAAACTATCTCCTTTTTGGCTTGTATAACCAGAACAATGAATTTGAAAGGTCAGGCTTTCCTGAAGAAGTCCTTGATGGTAAGGAAGCGTGTGATGCCACGCCTCGTGTTCATCCGCTAGCTCTTTTGTAAACAACCACTCAAAACCGTTGCTCTGCCCAATTTGGTAATGCTGTTTCTGGATTTCCCGTTGCTGTATGTGGAAGGAGGGGGCTAGGCACAGGGCTTCCCCTGTCATATCCCCATGGAAGGCCACACAAAGCTGCTCCTGCGGATCCTGCAAGTGCTGGACTGCGGGGTCAAGCTGCAGAACAGCAGTGCAGGAGGGGCTACCCTCCGAGCCGATTCTGGCTGGCACCCCCTGCCACGTGAGAGCACCTCCAGTCCCTCAGTCGTCTCCAGCCCCTTGTGAGCAAGGGATGCCTAGGAAGGGCCAGCACTGCCAGGGAATCCCTTGCTGCATCTCTCGCTGGAGCCTGGGAGGCTGTTGTGACGATCAGGAGGGGAATGTTTGAGAACGTGCGGGTGTGGAAAGGGCTTCCCCGGGAGGTGGCTGAAGTCCCCTTTGTGAGGGTCTTTCAGGAGAGGCTGGGCATGCACATGGTGGGCATGTCACGAGCGGAGCCAGTGGAGCCGTGGGTCAGACTAGATGGCCTGGGAGGCTGCCTCTGGCTCGCGCAGTTTCTGTGTTTGTGTGGGAAGAGCCGTGCTCCTCCTCTCGCCCAGCCGAGCCAGGCCTTTGATCCACCTGGAACTTGTGAAGGATCGACGGATGCACTTCCGTGGTCCTCGGCTAGCCTTTGCTAACACTGCCGCAAGGCAGGGATTGCAGGCAGAGTCAGGCCCTGCGTGCCTCTCCGGAAGCCACATGGCTCAGCTGGGAAAGCGACCTCGGGCTCAGCTTTGCTGAGGTTGGGTGGCCTGGCGCATGTTGCGTGCCGGTCTCTGTCCTCCTCTGTCTGTGGAAACTGTCACGTGCCACATCACCCACTCTCCGCTGTACTCCATGAAGCCAGGAGGGGGGCTCCCCAGACCGCAAAGACCCGCCGCTCAAGCTGGCTCACTGTCCTCTTTGCTCCCGATCCCTTTTCTGCTTTGCACCCTGCCTTTCCAAGCGGGAGGCTGAGGGCAGGGGCTGCTGTGGTGGAGGCTCACCTCGGGGCAGTCGGTTTGCACGTACGGACTTGCCTCGGGGTTGCACGATGAGGACAAGAAGGTTATCCTTTTAAAAGTACTAGTAAAGGTCATGATCGGATTGCTGCCCTCTAAGTCCGTCCTTCTTGCCCCTGCAGATGTGATCCTTCTAATAAAACCAGACAGCGTCCATCTTTATTGCAACCCCATCAACTACAGCTACCTTTTGCCCTATGTCGCCTTTTGGAAGAACTTGCATTTCCATTGCCTGACTGAAAACGAGGTGAGTGAGAGACTCAGAGGAGCCGCGTCTGCGAGCCGAGCGCCTCGCGAGCGCCTTTGCACCGCGCCTGGCCTCTTGCTCCCCCGCGGCTGACGTGATCTCTTCCGAACAGATAGCGGTGCCTTCGTCTCCGGAATGTGTGCCTGCTGCCTGGTGGAACTAATTAAACACAGCTAGGCAATCAAAACGAAAATGAGCCTGCTTTGAACTTGACCCTGTGCCTGCTTGCTTGGAAGCGCCACTGTGTTCATTGAGGTTCACTTCTGAGTTAGGTTTGCACAGGGTTGTAGCCTTAATCTCCGCTTTTTATCTGCATTATTTTTAAGTTGCCCAGTAACACAAGTTATCTGGGGAAATTACACAAATCTAAAAGAGGAAAGTGCCAAGACATGTCAAAATGTTAGCTTAAAGCCAGGCATGTCCAGTCCCTCACTTGCAGTTGGCTCACAGCGCTTGCCCTTGAGATGATTTTCTGGTAATAACTCGGAGAGACCAAATATTTAATTTGAAGCCCTGATCCAGGCTGAGGTTTATGTTACAATCTCCAAATTGCTTGGTAACCACAGCCATGGGGGAAATGAATCCAGCAAAAGTCAGCGAGGCCGTCTGTTTCTTTGCAGGTCGCTCCCAAATTCCCTGGCTGGTCTCTTTGAGAGCCCTGGAGTTAGAATGCCACAGCCTGTCAAAATAACCCCAGTGTGGCAATTAAGCAGATGCACTTGGTTTGGAGATCGTCTGCTGGACCAGCCAACTGTTAGTCCAGGAGCAGTCAAAAGCATTGTGTCTCTCGAGGTCCGTGTTACACGAAGAACAATTTAGTATCTTGTCACAGGGGATTTGCAGGAGAACTATTCGGGAAGAAAACTCTTGCAAAGCTCTCTGTGTGTCTGCAAGGAACGGGGGCACTGTGCCCGAATAGCATTCAGCTGCTTGGAGCTGGGGAAGCCTTTGCATGTGCAGAGCTCTGCATATGCACAGGAACTACTAGATTATGGCAGTTGTTGCCCTAGAGCAAGGAGCTTGAGGTTTGCTCCAGTTGAATGAAGCAAAGGACACCTTGTGGACTTTTCAGTGCTTTTGTCTTTGACGTCTGCTGCTTTGTAGTTGATTGATTGGCAGCACCCACACTGACACTGGGTCCTGTGGATGAAACCAGCTGTATAGACCTCGGGAGAGTCAGGAGACTGTTCCCGTGTCTTCAGCTCCCCTCCGGGTTATTGAGACTTGAAGTGGGTTCTTCCTTGACACTGGATAAGGCGGTTTGTTTTCCTTCTTGTGCAGCTGTGGCGATGTGGTGCAGAGAAGGATAACGCAACAGGGCCAAATGAAGCAGGGGCATGTTCTGCTCCACTGAGCCGGTGCTCCGTGTCTGCTGCCTGGCTCTCGGGGGGGAGAAGGGTCCGTGCTCCGTGGGAGAACACCCGCTGTGCATGCCAGGGGCCCTAAGCCCAATCCAAGCCCTCACCTGCTGGAACTGTGTGTGGCTGTTACCTGGCGTGCCAAGGAACCCTGCCAGGCCTTGCCGAACATCTGTGTGCAGCCTGGGACCCTTCGGATGCGCTGTGCTAAAACTCCTGTGATTCTGAGCCCTTGTGCCCATTGGCAGGGAATGATGGGAGCTGTTGCCCAATACATCTGCAGGGCACCAGTAATATTTTTTATTTTTATTTTATTTCTATGCTGCTCAATAGCCAAAGCTCTCCGGGCAGCGTACAACAGAGCAAGAAGTACAGTATAAAATGCAAGCAGCAATAAAAACACCATAAAACTTAACATGCAATATTTAAAAGCCAAATTTAAAGCAGATGTAAAAAGCTGCAGCAGGTTCTACAAATGAAATCATAAGACTTGTTTACGCCGCTAACATGACTCCCAATATAACATTAAACTAATTATCCTCTAGGAGAGTCTTAGTTTGGCACTAAAATGTCGGCCAATAGAAAGGATCAGCATCCTGGGGTTTGACTCCTGTGTAAAGCAGCTTAGCTACGTGGTGTGCAGAAATTGCGAGGAGACCCCAAAGCAGAATGGCCTGCTGGTAGAAAAATAGGTGACCCCAGAGGAACCTGCAGACAAGGGCATTTACTCTGGAAAGCACAGGCAGGGGGAAGGCCAACGTTGGGTCTCCAAGCTGCCATTTTGTCAGTGCCTTGAATTGTGGGCTCATAAAAGGAGCAAGGAATGCTCAGCTGTGCGAGTGAAAAGGGAGGGAAGGGCAGCGAGGCCGGCGTGGAGAATATGGGCTTGTGGATCTCTGCTTCTGACTTGGAGGGTGCAGAGACCCTGCAAAAGAGATGGCTTGTTGCATCAAGAAACCGCTCGGAGAGTGCTTCTCTCCCCACCCCTTCGACTTTGTGGCTGCCTCACTACTTCTGCTGCTAAGCATGCATGTCAGCATTCCCCCCCCGCCCCCCCCCCCGCCAGAAATAATTTTCCATCGTAGTGCAAGGGGTTCCCACAGAGGACTTTCTGGAAATGACTTGCAGTCTGCCAGGCATTTCCGTCCTGCATTCCAGCAGGCACATGCCTGGAGAAGAGTTGCAAGCTCTTCTCTTCCCCTGCAGCGGAGAGGATTGGAATCAGGTGGCCTTGTCAGGCCATTACAGCAAAATGGCTGCGTGCATCCCATAAACCAAGAAACAGCATCATGCTTCTAAGACCCTTAAAACCTGGTTTCTGCATTCCACACAGGTGAGCTGCTGAAAGCCGGCACGACCTGTTGTGGTTTCTGTGTAAAGACCATGAGAAGCGTCCTGCTAGATCAGGCCAAAGGGCTATCTAGTCCAGCCTTCTGTTCACACAGCTACCTGTGGGGAACCCATAAGCCAGACATGAGAACAACAGACCCTCGCACCCATATTCCCCTGCAACTGGGTACCCAGCCATCCTGACTCTGACACTGTAGATGGTTCAGAGTCATCAGAACTCGTAGCCATTAGTAGCTTTCCCCTTCATGAATGGGCCCAGTCGTCTTGTCCAAATAGATAACCGACAGTGCACCTCGAAGAAGTCAATTCCACAGTTTAACTGCAAGTTGTATTGTGAAGTTCCTCCTATTATTGGCCCCAAATCTCCCACCCATCAGCTTCATGGATTGACCCCTTTGGGTGCTACGATTAGGAGAGACGGAAAAAAGCTTCCCTGTTCATTGTACGGGGCTTCGTTTTGCATGCACAATAGATAAAATTAATGTAATAATAGTAGCAACAATAACAACACTCATAGTTACTATTGTGTATCACAAATGAACACTGATGTTGGGTTGAACCAATCCGATTTTTTTGCAATAATTATCTGCTGGGTTTTCTTTTCACACCCAGCTCCCCTTTCTGCACTACATGATCTTTCAAGTGGGCAGGCTGGGTACTGAGAGTGCCAACACAATAAAAACGAGTTCTTTCAAGGGTTTTTGGCATCCCTGAAATGGATATCCAGCGTACAAAGGGACTGATAATGGAAGTGCAGAGTCGCATTCTCCTGGAGATCAGGAGTGAGCTCTTTGCCATCACGCTTCTAGATACTGTGGCTCCTTCCTGTTACTACACTCAAATCATGTCTTTCACATGGAATGAGGCAGTGACCACCACACAGTGCCAAATAGCTCGCAACTCTGAGGCCGGCTTTACCGAAGAAAATGCCATGGCGTGGGGGATTTGCCTCGCCTTCAGCTCCGTTTTCGGCTTCCCGCTCATGCTGGTGAACACTGTTTCAGGCTCAGCTCGCTGTGCTCAGCACTGAGGCCTCGAGGGAGGGAGTCTCGCTGGACGGCCCCCACGGCTTCGAATCCACCTCTGAGTTTGAATCCTAGCGTGCCTGGTGGGCCGTGTGTATGCAGGAGCTCTGCTCAAACCTGGGCGCTGGGCGGGTTTCCTCACGCGTGCCGCGGGCAGCGCTCGCACGACCGTTCCGGCCTCGGCACACAAAATGCCTTCTCTGTGGCGCACCATGTGTGGTGTGGGCGCCAGGCCGCTAATTTCATGGCGAGGTGGCCGTGCCTGAAGGCCAGTGGGAACTGGCGAACAGCGGCCACTGGGAGTTCAGGGGGCCATCAGTGGAACCTGGGGCATCAGGCCCTGTTGGAGGTGGGGGTCGTTTCCAGGGTCGCGCCTGTCCGTGCAGCACAGGGGGGGCCGTTAGCCCTGCATCGAGAGCAGTGTGGAATAAGCCGGGCTGAGTGATGCACCAGGGCTGACTTTTCACTGCCAGCTGCGATCCCAGCAGCTCCAAGCCAAAAAAATGGCCGGGGGAGGCGTGCCCTGGGCATGGGGGTGATTCTGCCTTCCCAGGCTGGGTGCGTACGAGCGATTCGGAAATGGGCATGGGTGTAAAGGCGCATCTGTTCTTTTCAATGCTAAGAAAGCAGTGGGTAAGCATTAGCGTCCGGTCTGTGTTTGCATTGCCTGTTTTCCCGGGGATGATGGGAATCGGAGGCAAGCTCAGAGCAGGGTCGGGTGGGTCAACAGTGTGAATGGCTTCTGAGCACTTCAGGAAGGACTTGCAGTCTAGTAACCCTGCTGGTGTAGCCCATGTTTCTTTCTGGTTTTGTTTTGCTAGTACGAAGATGAAGAAGCTGCTGAGGAATTCAAAATTTCAAGCTTTGTAGAGATGGTCCGTGACTGCAGCCGGATTGGTATTCCCTTCAGCTCCCAAGGTAGGCTTTCAAAGAACGCCCAAGAACCCAGCATGGACTCGCGGTACTTCACATACGTGGGACTCTCCCTCCAAATGCTCGTCTTCCTGGGCATACCTCTACAGTCCAGTCCACCCTGACCATGTGGGACTACACCTCCCATCATTTTCAGCCGGCATGGCCAACATACATGAAGAGGACTCGGTTGGGAGAGGCTGCTGTCCCCATAAGCTGATGTAGACCCGTTAGCATGGTGGACTAGGGCCAGGTCCCTTCTCGCCACAAAGCCGTCTTGCCCAGGGACTCTTTCTCCGTCTCCCTTATCACACAGGATTGCGTGGGTGCAATGGAGGTGGCCCCGGGCTCCTTAGGCGGAGAGCAAGAGACGGAGGTGGTCAATGGACTGCCCTGGTTTGCCAAGCCAAGAACCCTGGGAAGTCGCAATTTCTGAGAAGGTGGCTTCCCGGGCTTGAGCAATGATAGGCGTGGAATCTGGATCCTGCTTCTGGTGCAGGAACAAATTTTCCTTTCGGAGTAGGGCATAGTTTTAAGGTGATTGCCCTAGGGTAAGGCTTGTAAAAATCACCCCCTGATCAGAAGGCAGAATGTGGCCTAAAACTGACTGGTGAGAATATCGGCAGAGGAAAAGGAGCATGGGGAAAAATTAGAATGGATTTTTCAGAAAGGCCGCCAAAGTTCTGGGTTGCCGTTGTATGAAAGGAATTGTGGCAAAGGTAAAAACTGGAGTAAGAAGCACACTGCGAAAAGGAAGTTCAGGGCTCTGTGTGCAACAGACAACACACATCACGCTGTGCCTGCCGCGTATTGTATATAATCGGCGTAGAAGGTGACTTGCGTATAAGACCAGGTCGATATTGTGAGCTGTTTTCTGGCATTGTCATACATTGGGTGTATAAGCTGACCCACAACTGTTGTGTCACCATTTTCAGTTTCGTGGGTCATCTTGTAGGCCAGTATGTATGGTAGTTTCATAGGAAAGGGGCCAGAACTGATTTAAGCCTTAGTTCAGTCAGTTTAATGAGAACACGCCACGCTTTTTGCTGGGGTTGTCAGTCTGAATTTCTGAACAAATTCTGAACACTTGCATGGTGAGGTATTCACTGTAACGATTTTTCACAGAGAATTATTCACATGTTCCCTCTGCAAAATGACATTCCCCCCCCCCCCCCCGCAAATAGTTTGTGTTAATGGTCGTATGTACAGTTAAACACAAAGGACCCTCTGTCCTTCGGGCGTCCTCATATAAATCCTCTTTTATGCAAGGAAAGAAATAGCACCCTTCTTGTTTTGCACTTTCCCTTTTTAGAGCAGAAAAGATTATGCTCTGATTTCCTGTTCATGAAGCGAAGCCAGGATGCAAAGCAGAACAATCTTGATTTATTTTGCTGAGAATAACCCACCAATGAGCAAGCGGCAACCTCTTGCTTGTAATTCCATTTTTATCGTGCTTTTTGAGAGAGCAGTGTGTTGGAGTGGTATCTGCCATGGGTTTCAGGGCAACAGGCCTTCCCTGGGGAGCATCCTGGTTAAAGATTCAGTCCGACTTGGCCCCTCTTCATTATTTTTGGTTCTCGGAATAAGCCCCTCCCTTTTGGGACTTGAGAGGCTCTTGAGTACAGAAGCTGCTTTTGGTCACTACATTGGAAGTGTAGATTGAGTGCTGGAAGTCTATTGGTTGCCCCAGTGGACAGATATTTAATAAACCGCTCCTGTGATGTCTGCCGTGTTCTGCCACAGCCTTCCCCAGCCTGCCACCCTCAGGATGCATTGGTGGGTTATGGGAGCTGTAGTCCCACAGGTCTGGGGAGTGCCAGATTAGGAAGGGCTGCTGCACCAGCTTTGGCCTGGGGTTCCTCTTCTGTGTACATTCGCCTTCAAGATGTACCTGAAATGCCAATGGAATATGCTTACTAAATACCATGTCGAAAGAAGGAATTAGGAATTGTCAGCTTCAGAGCTGAGAATCGCCTGGTTCAGCGGTTAGCGAATCAGGGGCTTCGACCACTTGGTTTGCATTTCCACACCACCTTTCCGAGTGCCACAAAAGAAAGAGGAAAATGCAGCCTGCCTTTCCCAGGTGATCTGATGGTGATCTTTCTTAAATCTTGGTGCCCAGAACTGGGCACAGTGTTCTGGATGAGGCCTGACTATTGAAGGGCATAGGGCATGGGTCCTCAAACTACAGCCTGCGGGACCGATCCAGTCTGCCATGGCCATCTGGTGCTGTCCGCCACCCGTGTGCAAACCTGCTGTGCAGGCGGGGAGGCGGTGGCTTGCTCTGGTCTCCAAGTGAGCAAGCCGCCACCGCCGCCTGCCTCCCGGACGCGCACGCTCGCCGCTGCCTTGCAGCTGGGGCGGGCAGGCGGCGGCTTGCTCTCTCGGAGACCAGAGCAAGCCACCACCTCCCACCTGCACAGCAAGAAACCCACATGTCGTATCATTTTGCCGATCAGCTCAGAACACAACCGTTCTTTACAAATGCTGAGAAATTAAGTACCACCTGCCTCACCACTCGCAATACATGTTTGGTTCCATCAGGTCACCTGCAGATCTTTGACATGTTCATCGTGGAAAAGTGGCCCATCGTACAGGCCTTTGCCCTCGAAGGAATAGGCGGGGACGGCTTCTTTACGATGAAATACGAGGTGGGTGCCTAAGGATCCCTTTAATGCCCCTTCTCTCAGGGGTGCCTCATGGGGTGCTTCTGCACCCGGAGTTTGTAAAGCCAGCGACAGGGAATCATGAGCTGTAGTCTGTAACATCCAGAGGGCCACAGGTTGCTGCCTGCCGGTTGCAGGTTCTTCCGATCTGAACAAACTTCTCTTGCTCTCTTTCCGTGTGTCTTTTGTTCTTAGGAGGATCGCCGAGCGACTTCTGCAGATTTGCTTAGTTTCTGAGATATTTGTTCATTATTTATTTATTAATTGCATCCATTTATACCCCGTCCCGTCGCCTCAAGCACTCAGAATGGCTTACAAATATATAAAAATACATATAAAACTACTATAAAAACATTAACTATTAAAACAATATAAAACACATCACTGTAAAATGCGACTGTGAAGTAGGGGGAAAATAAAATAAAATTCTAAAACATCTAAAAACATTAATTGTTAAGATAGCGATCAAATAAGCCTTTACCTGGCGCCAGAAAGAATATAACGTTGGCGCCAGGCGGGCCTCTCTGGGGAGCAGATTCCATAGTCTGGGCGCCACTGCAGAGAAGGCCCTCCTCCGGGTGGACACCCTCCATATGGCCTTCCAAGAGGGTTCCCAGAACAAGGACTCCCCTGCTGATCTTAAGGGGCAGAGGAGACATTCCTTCAGGTAGTCTGGGCCTAATGGGAGATATTGTTGCACAAATTAGCTATCCTTTGTTTAAAGCTCTGTTCCAGTTTGAGAGCCAGGGCTGGGGAGTGAAAGAATAACGTTTCGGCTTGTCATGAAGCTTTGAGATGGTTTTGCAGAGCTGCGTTTTACCTTAACCACGAGCTTCCGTGAAGGTCGCTGGTGGTCTCAGAGGAAGAGTTGCATGCCATCGTTCTCTCACAGGATCGTGCTCCAGAGCACAGTGCATCTCATCTTTGCAGTACTGTTCTCCAGCCATAATGGTGCATTGTTAAAGACGGCTACTGGACGGGTGCGCACGGGGGAGTGAATAGCGATGGCGGCAAGCAGCACCACTCTTCCTCCGAGCGCAGAACAAAGCCGGTGGCTTCCCTGTGCGTGCGCTCGGTCTGTGCCGGTGCTTCAGTGGGTCAAAGCATTGCAGGCTGCCCAATTTTAGCACGCGGCTTGGCACTCCTGATGTCCCACGTTCCAGTAGGGCTTGAGAACAGGAAGGGGTGAATCTGCCGTACCCATTTGTAGTCTGAAGAAAGCTCTCTTGTCTCTTGCAGTTAATGGATGTCAGTCTGGATCTGTGGAAAACTTACAGCAAAATGGATCCTGTTTCCCTGGAGAATTTAATTTATGAGGTAAAGTGGGAGGCATTGGTTTGCTTGGGAGTCTCTTTTCAGGAAACAGACGCACAGCCAAGGGGGGAACTTAGTTCCGTGTGCAATTGACAGAGGAACGCTGGTATTCTCTGGTTCCTCATGTGTGTGTCTCATCCTTCCTGTGGTGGCATATCTGGGGCCAAAATAACTTGTCATTGCACCATTCTGTGCCACCCTTTAAGCGTTAGCCTGTGTGTGCTCCTTCCTGCCCTCCTGGGCTGGCTGTGAGGAGGAGACCAAAAGCTTCCACTTCTGCCTTTTATTGGCCAGCAATCAGTACTATCTCCGAACCCTAAACTCTGGTTAACCTTAACTGAAACAACCCACGTTCATAAACCATGGCTTCAGGTTAGGAACAATTCGGTGCATTTGGGCAAAACTGCGACCTGCAGTTCATCCACAAATGAAGGCAAGGCGTCTGATTTTGTGGGTCTGCCCAAGGAGGTAGAGAGAGGGAGTGTGAGCTTGCCCCTTGCTGGGCTTTGTTCTGGTCACGGATGACTCTGGTTTCTCATGAGGTCCTTCCCTACCTGGGCTTTTTGGCACTGTTTTGAGCCAGCATGGGCAGAAGTGACCAGAGGGTCTTTTGTGCAGGCCCTGTTGGGCCATGCAAGGAGCAGTCTCCAGGCTGCTCAGAAGCTGGCCAAGCCCTCCGGCTCCCTTCCACCTCTCTCAGCTTTTCTGGATGTCTTGGGGCTTGGTCCTTTGGCTTGCTGGGCTGCACGGCGCCACTTCGCCCATTCTGTGTGTCTCGTGCTCCATGCACATTTCATCACTTTGCTGAATCCAGATGCCTGCATGACCCTTCGTTTGTATTATTTAACTGTCCGCATCCTCTTCGAAAGAGCGGAAAAACGAGCCTCGGCTGACCCCTAATGGCCACTGCGGAGGTGCCCAACATTTGGCCGCCTGGTCTTTTGGCTTTAGAAGCCACGTCCTGACCGGTTCCCACGCAGCTCTTTGGCAGCCACGGTGGTCATGTGAAATACAGCTAGGCAACATTCACAATCGCCCGTTGGTTAGCACTGAGCAACCAATTAGCTGGCTTGCTCTGGAGCTCATTTTAGTTGGCTTTTTTAAAGGGATGTGTACTTAACTGTGAAATGTGTGCCTAGTTAGAGTCAATTGCTTTATGTGTTGAAGCTTTTACTATTTAATTTTTTTGCCATTAGCCTTTTGATTCTGTTTTTTAAGGAGGGAATGGGATAAGAGGATTGTTAAAAACAATAGGAAACAGTAATTTGTAAAAGTTACACTTGGGTAGCTTGAGTCTTTAAACGGTTCCATTTTTTTAAAGTTCTGCTGAGACTTCTAGAAGTTTAAGAAGGTTGGGGAATTCTGGGAATTATAAGACTGAATTCTGACTGAATGTTCACTGGATTGTACCCTTAAGGCACAATCCTGTGCCACTTAGGCAGAAAAACACTTCCCAGTGTTGTCTTGCCAGCTTGGGAATGCTGGGAGCAGTGGGATTTTTCCCTGTCTAAACACACACAGGTTATGCCTCAGTCCTTTCAGACTGGTAAAAATAAGATTTTAGACCTGCAGCAGGCATAGGTTTTTCGCATTTGGTGTGGCCGTGACTGGGCACAGACGTTAAATAACGTCCTTTTAAAAAGCAACCAGACCAACGGCAGGTGTGTTTCATTCTTCCAGGATCTGATGACTTTTGAACATCAATGGAGCAACTTGTTTGCCAGTTTTGACAACGAAATTCCTTCCATCCTGGAGCTGTCGGAGTCCCAGGCTGGGGAGGTACGTGTTGTATTATTACATGAAATGAACGGCTTGTTTGTGTTCTGATTTTTAACTCTCCGCAGAACTCATCAATATGCCAAATGGGATGAGTCGCTTATGCAGTTCCTTGAAATGACCAACTTTTGAGTTTGCTCCATGCGCCACTGTGTAAACCACGTCACAGTAAAAATTAAAAAAGCCTGTGAATCTGTCCATGCAAGAACATCGTTGTTGCTGCTGCTGCTAGTCGCAAAGTCGTGTCCGTCCCATCACGACCCCATGGACAACATTCCTCCAGGCCTTCCTGTCCTCCACCGTCCCCCGGAGTCCACTCAAGCTCACGGCAACTGCTTCAGTGACTCCATCCAGCCACCTCATCCTCTGCCGCCCCCTTCTTCTTTTGCCGTCAGTCCTTCCCAGCATCCAGCTCTTCTCCAGGGAGTCCTTCCTTCTCATTTGGTGGCCAAAGCATTTGAGTTTCATCTTCAGGATCTGGCCTTCTAAAGCACAGTCAGGGTTGATCTCCTCTAGGACTGACCGGTTTGATCGCCTTGCGGTCCAAGGGACTCGCAGGAGTCTCCTCCAGCACTGCAAAGACATACTGATCGCAGTCCAGGGGAAACGTCAGCTCTCCTGTTGCTCCCAGGGGCATGGGATCCCAAGGCTAGGGCTGAAGTCAGCTGGAACCACGTGGGTTTCCCAGTCACCTGGGAAGAGAAAGCAGCATCCCAGAAACCAGCACGTAGCACTTTACATGTTCGCCCAGGACAACTAAAAACAGCCTCTGTTCTGCATCTGCGGGAGCCTTTCACAGACATAACCCTAAGGCAGTGTTTCCTGCAAGCACCACGCTTCTTCCTCAGAGGCAGTCAGCACTGAATACCAATTTTCCTGGACAGGGAATTAGTTAGAAGAGAGACTATGCAAGCCTTCGCCAAGCGTTCATCTCAGATTTGAAAAAGCATGCGTTAAAACGCAAACCACGCGAAAGAAATTGTTTCTGTGTTTTGCTTAAATAATGTGGAATGCAAGGCAGAACTTCCTGTGGGCATCTCAGCCTCATCATTGCCTTGTGAAAAGGCACTGGATGCTGCTGACTCTAATGAGCTAAGATATGCTTGTCTCTTTACTTTTACAATACAACTATATTTAGGAAATATGAGGACTGAGGAAAAACTGATCGAAGAAAAGCCCACGCTGATTAAGAAGTTAAAATAATGATGTTGTCCTAAAAAGTTTTGCTTCACTAAAAATTCTCAAGGAAGAGCCTCTTTAGATATTCATATGTGTGACCATCATGCATATTTAAGGCAATAAATCCACGTATATTTAGGCAGAAAAATGCTGGGAAGTGTAGGGCGTTTTTCTGCGCAACACACATAGGATTGTGCCCGTCACCAGTTGATAATCTGTGAACCCCACTGTGAATTATTTAGATGTCATTCCATCCATTGCTATACGTAATATTTCCATCCATAATTATTTATATTCAGGTTATCATAACAACTTTGGTAATTTAACTTTTGCTCTTTACCTTAGAATCATAATATTGAGGTATAAATTTGTGGAGGGAAAGGTGCAATCTGTAATGTACTTAGCCCTGCACAGCTCTGATGCCTCCTTGATGTATTGTTGATCTTTAACACGTTCCTTTTAGCAATTGCATAAAGATTATTTATCAGGATTGGTTGATTCATTTAAATATTTAAATTCCTTCCTCAGCCATTCAGAAGCTACTTCAGCCACGGAATGATCTCAAGCCATATAACAGACAACAGGTATCTTGGCATTGACAGATTTGTGTGCAAACGCGGCATAATATGCGGCGTGAAGCAAAGCGTGTAAAAATCATTCAGGGACGAGGCAGAACTGAAGTGTTGTAGGCATGAAAATGGAAGATGCTGCACTTCAGCTCTGATGAATATGCATTTGCTTTCTTACCTGCATCATCCCAGTTCCAGAAGAAAAGGGGGACCAAAGCACTGATGATCTGAAGGCTTACCTGCCCCCCAAATAACCTCCAAGTATATTCTACCTGTCCAAGCTGGTGATGTTCTGGGGTGCTATTATGTGTGCTTTCCCAAACCTGGTGCCCACAAAATGAGTTGGGCCGCAACGCCCACGTTCCCCAGCTGGCATGGCTGTTCTTTCTCGTGCCCTCCCTCACAGAGGCCTGCAGTCCATGCTGGCCAGAGGCCATGGGAGTTGTAGTCCAGCCCACCAGGAAGGCCCCTGGGTGTGAGAAAGGCTCCCCAGCTGCCTAACGTGTAGTGGGGAAGCACCCAGTGCTGGTGCAAGCCAACGTTTGTGCGACTTCAGCAGTGCCTGCCAGCCCCATTTTGGACCCGTTTGCACAATCAGAGCTTTCCTCCTCTCACCAGCTGCACGATTGTTTCATCTGGAGATGCCTGGAGAGAAACTGGCCGTCTTTTGCATGGAAAGCGCCCCCCCTTCCCCTCCACTGCGCAATGCTCTTTCCCTGGGTTAGTTTCTTTGTGTGCATTGCAGCTGTAAAAGCTGGAAGCTTGCACATTCTTGCGTTCTCTCTCTCTCTCTCTGGCAGTGAACTTGTCCCGTTCTCTCCTGTAGAATCCTAGCAATTAGTGAGCCTACGGTCAAGGGAACGCCTGCATGCTAGCTTTGCTGGTGCGTGATCTGGTGTTTCTGTAGTGGCACAGAGAGAGTGTTGCTCCATCTTTCACACTTCTCACGGAGAACTTACCGGCTCCTTGTGAGCACTTGGATGAAACGCTTCCCCCGAACCCGAGCTGGCAGTAACCCCTTTTCCGTTGTGTGCCTGGTCAGCCCCAGCAGGCAGCCCTTCGTGCTGTTCGGTGCCCATTCCTCCAAGGAGAACCTCAACTCCGGGAACTTCAACTTCCCCTCCGAGGGGCACCTGCTGCGCAACACGGGCCTCGGCGGGAGCACGGCGAAGCACATGGTGAGCCGCACTCATGTGGGTGTAACACAGTGGCACCTGAACGCCACCGGCAGCAGGCCTGAGCGCAGTGCTCCCATGCTGCCAGAGGGCACCTGCGGAGAGGGCAGGGCTCCGTGCACCCCACAGGCCGTGCCCCTCCTTCCCACCGTCCTCAGTGGCAAAGCCGTGCCCTCGGAGTCTGAGGCAAGACTGGTTTTGCATGGAGCAGATGGCGGCCGGACCAGCTTTCCTGCTGGGCGGCCCGAGGTGCCTCCTCAGGGCTGGGATTAACGTGAGCAGTTTCACCGTCCCAAGCAGCAAACGCCACCCGTTGTCAGTGGGCAGCTTCTCTGACCCTGTGAGAGGTCCTGGGGCACTTGGCCCGTTCAGCACACTGCTCCACTGGCTCCCCTGCACCTGTGGCTCCCCTGAGCAGCTGTTTGGGTAGTTTCTGCAGCTGGGCCTGCTTGGCGTGGAACGATGTTTTTCGGCTTCTCAGAGTAGCCAGAACCATGAATGGAAAGGAGTCCCTCCTCCCATTTCTCACCGTCGTGCTCCGTCCCGTCTGCTGCTTAAGGGGGGTGCAGAGCGAGTTGGGGCAGAGCATCTGAAGGCAGGTGGAGAGGGAGAAGGTCGCGCAACAGACGAGGAGGCCTCTGTGCCAGTGAGCAGGGATGTGCAAGCCGAAGTGGGTCCTTGTGAGCAGGGGAGCTGCCCCACGGGATCAGGCCCCAGAGGGTCCACCTTGCCCCACGGAGCTTCTCCCACAACCAGCTGCTTCTGGGGAGCTCACAGGGAGGGGCAGCTTGCGTCTCTTCTCACGGGTGGGCAAACTGCATTTTGGAGGCCCGAAAGCGGGAGCGGGTGGGAGGTGTGCAGGTCAAGGAGTCCCACCTGAGCGGCTGGGCTTGCTCTTTGGAAAGTGGCAGGAGAGATGCATGAAGCAGCCTTCACCTTGGGGCTCAACAAATTGACGGCTGGGTTGAAGGGATGCCAGGAGGAACGTGCTGAGGAGCTGCAGCTGCCTGCAGCTTTTCCAGCGTGGCACCCGCCCTGCCCACGGGCCGAGCCCTCTGGGCCGGATGGAAGCCCGAAACAAGCAGCGGCCCCAGCCCGAGGAAATCCATTTGAAGTGGGGGTCCCAGGAAAGCCAGAAGCTCCATGAGAGAATGCTCAGTCTGCCAGCCCGACTCTTCTTGGGGGATGAGCTACGGAGCCCCCTCCACCCAAATAAGGAGAGGCCTGGCTGCTGAGCCGCGGCTTCTTCGCTGGCCGGGTGGCCCAGAGGCGGGGCGCTTGCGCACGGTCAGCGCGCACCGGGCTGGGCGCAGGAGCGGCCCCGGGTGCAGCCACGGGGGCGTCTGCCGCCCTGGCCCGTTGCGGCTCACGTGCGCGTTTTGTGTCTGCCGACGGCCAGGTGGTGCAGTGCGTCTCCCCAAAGGGGCCTCTGGCTTGCTCGAGGACCTACTTCTTCGGAGCCACTCACACGCCGTACCTGGGTAAGTCTGGGTCGATTCCCCCCACATCCTCGAGCTTCTGGCCTGCCACATTCCGAGGGCTTGTGGTCGGTAAAAATACCGACGCATTCGGCTGCAGAGCAGGAAGCAGAAGGGCTGTCTCCTAGGGACACCCCCACTTGTAAAAAGGGATGCGTGGGGGGGGCAGGGCTGTTGCTTCCGAAGGAATCCGCGGGCAGAAAGAATCGGCACGGCGGGTGGAGAGCGCAGGCAGCCGATCTGCAGGGGTCGGATGCCACAGGGACCCTCTGCACCTTTGCTTCTGGCCGTGCGTTTCAAGTTTCAAGTCTCTGGTGAAGGGCATGCGCAGTGCAGCACAGACAGACGCTTCTTGTCCCGCGCGGCCTTCGTGCCCACTGCTCGGGCTGGCGCAGTGGGGGCCCTCTGGCGGGGTGCCTCTGAGCATGAGCTGATGCAAGGACTGGGCGGCCCGCTCTGCTGCAGCCCCAGCCACTCGCAGCCTGAGCCGAGGGAGGGAGCATCTTTAATAAAGGAAAGAAGAAGGAAAAGAGTCGTGCCGTGTCCGGCAATCAGAGCAGGGGTCTCCAGTGTTAGGAACGGTACAGAATAATTGTGCATGAAATATATGTAGAATCCAGAAATAATCAGTCCTTCCTTTTTACAACAGGCAATGACAACGAGGTGGAAAAGAAGGCTGAACAAGCGTAAGTTTTCTAATGTTTCGGTCTACGCCATTGTCTGGTCTAGCATCTCCTTGGCCCGTTGTGTTAATGCGGTTTACAGAACTGGTCCGTCTCTTTGCTCATCATGCTTCAGTGAAGTATTGGCACCCCCCCACCCCACCCCCCCATACACCCACAACCTTCCGGTCTACTCAGTTTGGTCCCTGTCTAAAGTTTGGGTGAGGCTTGATTCCCTGAGCGACAAATCCGGTTACTGCACCCTTTGACTAACCGACAGGAGACCCCAGACTCTTCCGCTGTCGCGACCATTTTATAGCACTTTGTGTAAATGTCTTGGCTGCCCTCTGAAGCAGTTCTGCACTGTGTGAATTGGCCAGTCCGCTTCTTGGTCACAGCCCTCGTTCATCGTCACGGTCAGCCCTGTGCATGGTGTCTGCTTTATTTCCTAGTAAGCTGCTGTCCCAGATCTACCTGGCTGTCGTCGAGGCTGTCCTGGCTGGCATAGATGCCTATTCGAAAGTACCCAGCACCACCAAGGTACTGACATTCCTTGCTGATCGCGAAAACGTGGTTGGTCGCTCGCACGAGCGTAGATCTTCCAGGCGGGGCTTCCAGCACACGGCCAGCTCTTCGGCCTGCAGCGTGGGCTCGTACAGCTCAGTTACAAGAAAGGGCTGCCCTGGAGGACGTGGAGGCCGAAGGGCACCGAGTCCCTCTTCCTTCTCCTCCAAGCTACAGCTGCCTTGGTCTCACCAGTCCATGCACTTTGCACATGCTCTGGGAAAACAGGTTGGGTGCCGCACCATCCACCCAAGGAGCAGGCAGCAGTGTGGGAAGATGGGGAAGGAGAGCTCGAGGTTGCTCGGAATACTTCCTTTGAGTTGATGGTCCTGTTTCAGGGGCACTGGCTGAACAGAGCGACCTTCCGTGGGGCTTCTCCAAGCCCTCGCCGTTCCCCGTCGCCCCTCTGCTGCATTACCCACTCCTGCCTATGCTCGTGGGTCTGAGGCAGCCAGCGCCTGTATCTGGAGCCCGACGCTCAGGCTGTCCCTGTGGCCGTGCAGCCCCCAGGGGGTGTGGCCAGCCCCCTCACCTGGACGACCTTCTTGAGTGTAGTTGGGAGCGCCAGCGTGGTGTGTGCTGAGGGCATAGGACTTGGGGACCTGGAGATCTGGGGTTGAGTCCCTGCTCAGCCCCAGAGCTCACTGTGTGATTTGCGGCCAGTTCCTGACTCTCGGTCACACCTGTTGCACAAGGTTGTTGGATGGAGGTGAAGCAGAGAGGACGAGGAGGACGAGGGCCATGTGAGATGCCTTGGGTTCCTTGCAGGGAAGATAAATAGAACCAGTAAGACAGCAACAATAAGGCGAGCATCTGAACTGGTTCAGGTGTCCGTCCTTCTGGAGCACAGATGCTGAGAGCCGTCCTTAGGCCTCCTTTGCCAGGTGTGCTCTGACTGCTCCCTTCTCCTCCCCACTTGTCTTTCCAGGCAAAGGAAGTAGCGGAGCAAACATTCCTCAGCATGCTCGACGTCTTTGAACTTGCGTACTTTAAGGCTCCGTTGCGGTACGTGGGGGGGATGTTTTCGGATGGGTGTTGTTGACATAGAGGGTTGATTTGGAAAGGCCCGGGGGGCTTCCTTGTTGGGAGGACCCCGCCCAACAGCTGTTCCACCTCGAGGCTCCATGCACTTCTATCGCTGAGTTGGGAGCCCCTGCTAGTTACCAATTTTGCAGGATATTTATGAGTGAGCGTGCAACACACGCAGGGGAGCCGTGGAAAGTTCTTGTGAACGTGACCTTTCTCCGAGGTCAGTCTTTCTCAGATGTAGCTTTGTCCGCCAAGAAGAGGAAATTGCCTTTCAGCCTATTTTGAGAGTACACGGTGCTGTTGAGTGCGAGGGTTCCTCCCTTCGCACATTCAAAGCCACCGAACTTTCTTGCGAAATGTTCTTTATTGACCAAAAAAGCACAGAGCACCCAGAATGAATCCCCAGGCTTGCACAGGGCAGCTTGTTGAACCCAATCTAGTATTCACCTCCAGGAACCCTCCTTATGGGCAGGCCTGTTTTTCATGGGCCCTTAACTCTTCTCTGAAAGGAGAATGCAAGGGTTGCTTGTTACAGGTGAGGTGGGAAGAAAATGCCCACTGCATGGAAGTTGTCATGTAGAAGCGGCTTCATCATGCAAGGAAGATTTTGGAGGGCTCCTTGCTGATTCCGTACTGCTGTTTTTCCCTTTTCAGCTTTGCCCCTTACACCTAACAGGTCTGGAGGGGTGGGGAGAATTCCAGGATATGGACCAGGGCCCCCCGTTGGGGAGAAGTAGCTTTTGGGTGGGATTTGCAGCAGAAAACAGCACCATTGTGCTCTGCCCTAAATTTTCCACCCCAAATCATGTCCTTGCAAAGTTCCCTTTTAACAAAGAATTGGACCGTGCGGGCAGCTCTTCTTACCTTTCCGTGCAATGCGTAGTCCGGTCTTCAAAGCAGCCCCCAAAACAATGTTCATTTGAGTACCAGCCTTTTCCCCCATTCAAAATGCCATTGCTTTTTCCTTTCTCCTTCTCCTTCTCCTTCACAGCACGAGAATAGATTTTCGGATTCAAGCTGTGAACAACCACGGAAGGTCAGTGCTTTCCTCCTTCTCCTTCAGAGGAATGCAAGCTTTGTCTGCGCTTCTCTGCGTGTGGTTAAGACAAACACATTCAAAGAAAGAAAGAAAAGTGCCCCTGGAATGTGCTCTCTGTGGCTTGAAAAAGACAAGGGAAGCAAAATGATACAATAAACGCAGCTTCGTGGCTGCCAGACGGATCAGCCCTTTAGGGTGCAAGCGTGTGCGTGTTCAGACTGAGAACCCTGCAGCTCCACATCCCTTGCCAACACACTCAGTCCGAAATAGAACGTTAGAACGATGTGCAAGAGTTAGCGAGTGTGCAAATGAGATGGCGTAACCAGATAGGTGTGTCTATCAGTGCAGCCTCCGTGCATCCCAGAGGCCTTCCTAAACATTTTGTGAGCCGCCCCGAGGCTTTGTTGCGATGGGGGCGGCATCGAAATGTTTTAAATAAATAAAGAAATAAAAATAAATAAACAGACAGGAGGTGAGCAGAAACTGCACTCAGTGCATTTTCCCTAGGAAGTCATGTAAGATTTAGTCTTCTCTGCTTGAAGGGCACGACTCAAGGTTTTCCAGCCAGTTTATACTGTCTGTTCCGAGGTCGTGGGATGCCACCCAGGCAGCTGTGGGAAACCATTCCTGACAGCTGTGCCATATTCAAAATGGGCAGTTGCGGATCTGTTACATTTTGCTGCTGGTTCTCAAGTCCGGTGCCAGCGGTTGCACCGGCACGGCTAAAGATGCCACACTCCTGATTTTTTTCTCAGAGAGTGACCCATGTGCACATACAGCCAGATTTAGAACCTCTAAACCTGTTCTTTAGGCATGCATTTTTAATATCTCTCGTGCCAAAGTCTGCATTTTTTCTGATTTAATCATTTGACAATGAATACTTGATGTGTTTGGGCTTCATCAGACTGTAACGAAAACTGAAACATGTCCCTCCTGCGCCCCACAGAATTATCCCTCTGGACAGTGAAGACAGCCTGTCTTTAGTGAAAACTGTGAGTAAGATTTATGCCATATACTTTCCATCAAAAAACACGCGCTTGTGTCTTGAGGAGATATTGGCTGACCCGGGAAGCTTCCGGGGTCTCCAGAGTTGGTGAAGAGAGTAGCAGAACCCTGGGACAAACATTTCCTCCGAGATTTCATGAAGGGAATGCAGGCAGAACCTGGGAGAAACTTAGTGTCTGCAGCGCTTGAGCAGAACTTGAGAGAACTCTATGCGCTTCCCGTCCCACTGCCTAGGCGGACAAAGATTAGGGACACAGTGCCAGGCATGTTTAGGCTGAAAAAGGTCATGCGGGGAACGCGGAGAGTTTTACAACAAGCCTTTTCTGGCCTAGACATGCATACGATTGCACGCTTAGTGGCTCTTTGTTCAGCGGGTGCTCATTGCTCTGGGCAGAGCACTGGCTGTGCAAGGGGAAGGTCCCAGGTGCAGCCCTTGACGTTGCCAGTTTAAAAGGACAGGTAGCAGGTGGTGGGAGCAAACCCTCACCCCAGCTTGCACCATCACAGCATGGTTGATAGGCCACGCTCGCTTGGAGGCTCCGTGGCATGTGCCGGTTGTGGCCTGGCTGGATTTCCTTAATTACTCTTGCTGGCACAGCTTTCCATGGCATCTGAATGCAGGCTTCATGGCTTGTTTGAGGGGCGGCCGCCCCCAAATTCCGTGTGGTCCACAGGGCATGGAAGAGCCAGCTCTGGATGGCTGTGACCCAAACAGGCCGGCAGCAAGCTCCTTGAAAGCCTTGCTGGTATCGGCGACGTTTATTTGACTGCGGAACTGAGGGATGGGCAACACCAAGAGCATGCAATTATTGGGTGTAGGAGTTTAAAATGCACCCTTTGTTACACCGTTAGCAAAATCCATTTGTGCAGCACAATAATCACATATACACAAGTTCTCTTCTCCCGTTCCACCCCAGGTGGCTCTGACTGTCCATGACATTCCAGACTTGCTTGGTGGACGGGGCTGCTTGGGGTCGGTTGTCTTCTCAGAATCATTCCTGACGTCGCAGATCCTTGTGAAGGAAAAAGGTATTTGGTGGTTTTCAGTTTGCAGTGGCTCAATGGCAGAACAACTCATCCGAATTAGAAGTTCTCCTCCCGCTTCCCTGGAGAAAGACCTTTCCAAGCCCTTGCAGCGTGTTTTGAGTTTGCGTTTGAACCGTGTGGGGAATAAGCCCTACTATAGTCCCAGATCGCCTGTGTTGGTCCCTGGTATATCAAGTCCCCTGCCTCTGCCATCCTTCCCAAAACCGCCCACGGAGGGGTGGAGAGCCCTGGTCACGGCTTTGGAAGGCCGGCACAAGCCATGGTGGGATTCTTCCCACAGGCTCGCCCATTAAGATGCAAACCGGCACAAAGGCAGCCCTGCTTGGATCTCATGAAAGGGCCGGTTCTGTGAAAATGCAGGAAGGGAAACGCGTTGTGGGAAGGGGTGGGGTCACACCTTGCAGAGAAATCAAAGCTCGGTGGCTTTGTGTGAAGCGTTACTCTGAAGCAGACTTGCGGAAGCTGGGGAACAGTCCTGCCACTGACCGTTTTTGCTTTACTGCAGATGGCAGCCTGAGCACAGAAACTAGCTGCATCGTTCTCACAGCCGCTATCCCAAGATCGGTTTCTTGGCTGGTGAGTAGAGCTCGGTTTGCATCAAAGCCCCTTTACAAGGAAGCGAAAAAGCAAGCAAGCCTGAAAGCAGAGGGCCACTGTCCCGGAAAATTCTTTATCTTCAAAGTCAAGATAAAGCACAACGTTCAATTGTGGTTATTTTAAAGCGCAGCTGCATCCGAAATAAAGGCAGAATTCTGTCCTGGGATTCTGTGCTGGGACCTGGTGCCGCGGAATGCAGGTTAAGCGAAGGCGGGGAGCGCTGCACTGCATTTTGCTGTTCAGCCCAGGTGTGTGTGAGTGAAGCTGTCAGGCAACACACTATGAGAACAGAGTGTGAGAAATGTCCACAGCAAGAAGTCGGGTGCTTCCTGTTTGCAGATACTGGCAGATGTGGTGTCTGGCAGAAGCCACTTTAGCCAAATGCATTTCATTTTATCAAGCATCTTGTTCAGAAACTGTTCTCTGCTGAGGTTTCTCACTTGCCCAGAGACATCCTCTGTGTGATACTGCAGCTTTGGTAACCTTTAAATGGGCATGTGTCAAAATGAGCTTTTCACACAGAGGCAGTGGTCAGAGTCAACCTCATGCCTGTAAAATACAATGTCTAATTTGAAAATAATGATGCCATGTCCCCATTGAGATTATATTTGCTCCATAAATAAATAACTCTATCCAATAGCAGCTACAAAGCAAAATTTCCTCTTCTGTTTACACATTTTTGATCTTGAATTACCAATGTAAGAGGCAAGATTCCAGGACTTTACCCAATATTTAAAGCAAGATTCCCATATCTGATCTAGAGTTACTTTTGACCTCATTTTGTTGATTGCTAACCTTTTTTATAATCCGCTGGAGAACATTCATACAGGACTTGTATTTCTAAAGCAAAGAAGCTCAACTGAAATGATCGGTGGTTTTGTTTCTAGGTAGAGGATAATGAAGTGAAATTGTCGGAGAAGGCCCAGCAAATTTTGAAGGTTTGTAATGCAGCTCAGCCCAGCGATTAAACTCCGTTTTTTATTTCTAAATCTCTCAATACCAGTTGCAAGAAAATGTGAGTGAGGGGATGCGGTTGTGCTTATGTGTTTGTGGGTTGTCCAACTCCCAATGTCCAGTTTCCTCCAGTGGAGACGCAATACAGCAGCTCTTCCTGAGCCTCTGCTTGCAAATGGTGTTAAGATGATGAACTAAGACAAAAGGAATTCATTCTCCGCCCCCTCACCCTTTATAAGTCCTGCCCAACGAAGAAGAAAGTTGTCGCTAGCTTTAGGATGGGGTACCACCCTGAGACGTCGGTGCCCCACACCCCTTAAGACAGGGATCCCAAACCATTTTGGATTTGCGGACACATCTGGGAATTTGAGACGCGTGCGCACCACCACAAAACGCCTCATCAGCGCATTGCTGCTTTGCCATCTTACCTTTTGCTTCCATGGATTTTGGACTGCACCTTACTCAGCAAAAAAACCTGGCGTCGTGCTTTTTGGACACCACAACGCCTCTTCCATAAGAGATTGTCTAATTTAGCTCATAAGTGGCAGTGGGATTCAGCTAGTGGCTTTTTCTCAGCATGTGACCTGATACTGCCCAGAAGTCACTGCCTTTGGGGAGCAGCTTATTATGCAGATAAATGCTGTACTGGCACCTTCTTCACTGCTCACCGATGTCCATGCTCTTCTAATGATTTATCTGCTATTCACGTATCAGCGGCTTCTCTGTGCCTTTCCGAAACAGATGTGAGCAGCTGGCATACTGCTGCCACCTCCAATTGGATATTCATTTGGATTTTTGGTCCTTATTTCCATAACTGCTAGAAAGCGGTAGACTGTTCTTGCAGCTAAAACTCCCAGTAGAATTGAAAGCGTCGACAGTCAGGGGCCCACACAGGGGGCCAAGGAGAGGCCACCCCACCAGCTTGAGGTCCATGGCTATGGGTCGGAACAGGCTCAGTCCCATGCTCCTTGGAGGGATTGTGGCTCGGGGATAAAGCACTGCGTTTGCATGCCGAAGGCCTCGCGTTCAGTCTCTTACCTCCGCCTTGTGGATTTTAGACTCCGGTGTCCCTTGCCCTTGCTGGGAGAAAGCTCTGACCTGGAGAGCTGGAGGGACACCTCGTTTGATTGGGTCTGGTGGGCATCTCATAGTCTTCCTAAGGCCTGGATGGGGGCTGGACTAGCTTTAGCAGAGCAGGAGAGCATCTTCAAGTATACCTGGCTGGTGCCATTGTTAGACCTGGCAAAATTTGCCTTGTGTAGGAAGAAGAATCTTTTCTGGGTGTTCTCCTGACAGGAGGTGATGGAGCCTACATTTCTTCCAGCAACTCTCTGTGTAGGCCAGAGGAAGGTGAGTACTTCTCCCATGGAACGTACATTTGGACATTCTATATCCTAGTGGTCCTAAAAATATAAAAATAGTGGGTTTTCACGGGAGGTGATTGAGGCCCCATCGGTGAGGGTGTTGGAGGATAGGCTGGACACGCACATGGTAGGCATGTCATGAGCGGAGCCGGCTGGAGCTGAGGGTCAGACTAGATGGCCCGGGAGGCACCTTCTGGCTTGCTCTGTTTCTGTGTTTCTATATTTTATTTACTTATGTAGTTATTTAATTTGTATAAAAACGGCCTGTTAGCATTGTGTTCTCTGGGCTGCCATTACAATAAAATTATTAATACTTACATTAATAAAATAATGCAGTTACAATCACACAACATGTACATCAGTAAAATAAATAAATGAGATTAAAATTAAAACCAGTGCCATCAATATAGACGGCTTCAGTAATGCCTTAGGTGTGTGTTGAGAAAGAAAAGTTTTTCTCAGGCGCCTAAAACTTGATCAAGTAGGTGTCTGACAACTCTCCAAGGACAGGGTATTCCGCGATTGGGTGCCACCGCAGAAAAGGCCCTGCTCTTCCCCAGCTCCCCCATAACCTCCCTAGGGGGAGGACCCTGTCCGGGGGCCTCCATCGACAACCTGAAACCACATCTGCGTGAATGTGTGAAAACAAGAAGGCTGATGCAGGAGCACAGCAAAGCTCGGCTTTGATTTGAAGCGCCTCCCTCCGCCCCAGCCCGACCCTTCCGTCTTGAAGTGCCGCAGTTTCGGATGGGCGGAGGCCCACGTGCGTTTGAACCGTGGCAGACTCCCTTCCACACCCCGTGTCGCATTGCAGAGCAGCAGCCCCTCTTTCGGAAACGGAGGGTGCCAGAGGCAGCGCATCGCAAGACGCGAGGAAGGGCTGCTGGCACACCTCGCACCGTTCCCTGCTGAAGCTGGTCGGAGAGCAGGGCGAGAGGATGCCGGCAGCCCTCGGCCTGTGTGTTGCGGGGCAGTTGGGTGCAGCGAAGGGTTTGTCCGGTGACTTCTGTAGAAGAGTGAGCAGTGGCCTCACGCCCCCCTCTCCCTCCCTCTCCAGGAAAACTCTACTTCTTTTCCGAGGGCCTCCTCTTCAGCCACCCCCACTACGGAAGCATCACCATCTCCAAGTCCCACATGACGTCCATCCGGTTCTACGACGGAGTAAGTGCTCCATCCGTGCCGCACGCGGCTCTTGTCACAGCTGTGCTGCGATGGCAGCGGACGCTCTCGCCTTCCTTCACGGCACCCCGGTGCGAGGTTCCAGGTCCTTTTGCCGTCTCTTCTTATGGACTGTGTCAGACACCCAGAGAGCTTCAGCTGCAGGGCTGTAGAGAAATGCAATCCATCAATCGGGAATATATCCCATCAGATCCTGGATGCAAAACTGTATGATGCATAGAACCCATGTGATCAGAAAGGTGATCGCAGGAGGCCTTGCTGGCTGGAGCACGGTCTGCGGGTTGCTATCCGGGACCAGCCTGCAGGTGGGCCATCTCCATGGTGGCACCCACCTTATGGAGCATCCTCCCTGCTAGTATTGGGGGCGGGCAGCTGTGGCAGGCTTCAGGGGCCTGCTCAAGACCTGTCTCTTTATCCCCCCGCCCCCCCCGCCCCGGTGTTGGTGCTGCCCAGGTAGTTTTATTCATATTGTGCTTTCAGCTTCAGTTTCAAATATTTCTGGCCCCGTAGCAGATGCATTTTTGCATTGGCTGTTCCATTTCTGTGCTGTGACGCAGCCCAAGTGACCTGGATGGTTCACAATAAATGCCCACCCAATTCGGCATATTTTAAACTCTGATTCTGTAAATCACTTAGGAGTGTCTTTGGATATGGCAGGCTGTCTATAAATTAATTAAATAAAAGGGAACACTTGGAGTAAAAGCTTCATAAAATAGAATCGACTGAAGTCCATCGTGCAAGGCAGACAAAAATCCCACCAGGAGCATCCAATAGATTGATCGATCCATCTGGTGAGGTGCACAAACACGCCACACCTGGGGGCCCCGTGGCGACCCCTGTCCCCCTCACAGCCAAGGGTGCCGTTAATGCAGTTGCTGGTGAGCTGTGGAAGCACGGTCACGGTCCAGGGAGGGGCCTGGTGCTCCAGAGGGACGGAAGGGGGTGAGGTCGTGGCTGCAGCATGTGGTTCTTCGTCTTGTACCCATTTCGCTAAACTGCTGCGAGTGTTGTGTTGGCAGGCCCCAGGTGAGCGCAGAGGAGTCCGCGCATTCTGCTGCCTGGTTATATCTCTGCTTTCCAGGCGGCAAAAGCATCTGGGGTCACTGTGGTTTATTCTGTCTGAATAACAATGCATAATGGAGTTAAATCCGTAACGGGCCGAAGCCGGCGGCCCTTCGCGTTCCTGCACTGTCCGACCGCCCCCTTTGTAGCTTGGCATGCGGCACTTGAGCCCTGACCTTCCTCCTATTGTTCGGCTTCAAGACACCCGACTTCTCCAAACCTCTGGCTATTTATGGGGCCCTGGTTATCACTGCTGAGCGGCTGCCAGGTATTCTGTGCGAAGCAAAAACCTTGAAAGAGAATTCATATTGTTTCACAGACCTGGCAAGGCGTGAGGCCGGAGGGCTAAAAATACCGCAGCCGAGATGAGTGGTGGTGACATCGGTAATGCAGCAATAATGCAGATATACAGGGAAAGATAAGCCAGTTAAATGCCCAGTCAACAAGCGCACCGTGTTCTGTATGAGCAGCCTCTTTTCTTGCCACTGATAACCATCCAGAAGAAGAGGGCTAGCAGTGGCTGTTTGCGCAGCTTGCCGCTGTGTGCTGAATTCCCGTTCAGCGCTGGGTCTCTCAAGCTGAGGACCACTTCAGTTGGCCCTTGGCAGGGGCTCCGGGAGTGGTGATGGTGTGCAGATTGGTGAGGTGTGTGCCATTTTCTGATCCACTTCTCGCCACAGATTGTGTGGGCCCATTCAGACATGACATCACCTTGGTCAAATCAGGGCATGGATTTCCACCAGGGAGCCAGCACTGTGCGGCACTTTTGTCTCCTCTCTGCCCATGTGCCCTGTGATCCTGATTTGCAGTCAGAGATTAAAGTTTCCCAGTTTGGAATGAATAGAAAAGTCCTTTAACAAACCCTGGACATTTTGCACGATGGTGGCATGAGAGAAGGAAAGAGATCTTAGATCTAGAGTCTTGGGAGGGTGGAGGGTCCAGTCCTGAAGCTTCCTTAACCTGCCATCGACAGCAGCAATCTCATGGGAGTCCTCTTGTTTTGTATCTCACCATTGGACTGTCTCTTGGAAACATACTTTTTGATGACTGCGGAAAAGGATATTCATAGAATCGAGTTTCCCAGCTCAGTAGTGGTTCTGCAGAAAGAGGGTGCTTGGGCAGGCTGACCGGTTGCCTGCAGTCCAAGGCTTCATGCTCTTCCCTTAAAGGTGCTCTTTCCCCCTGCTTTCTAGGACTCTACCAGTGTGGTCGCAGCCCTCCTTATCGACTACAAAAGTTCCCTGCTTGCTCACCTGCCTGTCCAGTTTCATACCCCAAGCAACTCTCTGATGATCGCACTGTTCCCCAAGTCAAAGCTGTATAAAGCTTTCTACTCACAGGTGACAGTATTAAGCAATCTTTCTTCTGCCCGTGCGCCAAAAACATTGTCCGGCTTTTGCACAGAGTAGACCGTGCAGGTAGTGGCTCGCGATGCGTGTGGGGCCAGGATGCCCTGGCAGCCTCTTTCTCCTACCTGGGAGGAAGGGCAGCGCTTTCCTCTGGCACAAAGGGGTGATCAAGCCATCTTGTCACCCAGCCTTTGGTTCTTCTCGGCAGCTGAGGCCGTCAGGGGAATTCACGCGTGCGTGCGTGCGGGGCGTGCATGTTAATCACCCAGTGAATGCAGCACAGAGTGATTAATCTGCATGTGTGAAGCAGCGTGAGTACTGCTTGGACTCTTGGGCAGGGGTATACCGAAACATGGTTATATTGCTAAAATGGGAAATATTCTTAGCTGTTAAATTGAATTTTTAAAGTGTTCCAAGTAGGTGTAGCTTCCCTCTCTTAGTTCTGGGATTTATTATCAAGGATGACATCATGTCCTGACTATTCTAGGAAGTTCAATATTTTTCATTGGCTTGGGTAGAGAGGATTTTTAATTAAAATTTTAATAAGCTGCACCCCAAGAACCCTCTTGACAACCATCATGGAGAGTCACCTTCCTGAACCAATACTACCTCGAGTGGCATCAGACGCAATAATAAGTTGTGCAATTTGGATTTTATTCTTCATTGTAGGTTTTCTCTATCTGGCAACAACAAGGGAATTCAGGAATAACTTTAAAGATGACCCAAATCGACAGCCTGCCTGCAGAGCAAGAGAAATTGTGAGCTGGTGGCTCTCTCCCCACCCCCCCGCCACCCCCCTGAATTGCATGTAACCAATGGGACCGCGATAAAATGCTGCAGCGTGGGATACTTTGTACAGCAAGCAGCCAGCCAGGGCCTTTCCCGGATATGCCATTCCGCCACCTGCAGCTTTTCCGTTATCTTCTCCCAAACAGTCTGTGCCCGGTTCCCCTTTGGCTTTTTCTGCATCCTTAGCTTCTTTCATTTCCTAAAGTTTCTCTTTTTTTTAACTTCTGCAAATCCAGGGTCTCCCAAGTCTGCCCCCTGTCTCCCCCCTTGTGCGGATTTTGGTGTTCTGACTACAGAAGAATCTGCTCCCGGGGAATGAGTTTGCCGTTGCTTTGAAGCGAGAGCGGGGAGCAGCCCTGGGCAGCTTCCGTGCCCCCCACCCCCCGCTGCCTCTGTGGCTGCCACTGCGGCCACGCTCCTGGGGCGCAAGACGAGTCCCCCCATGTGCTTCTGTTCTTGGCACAATCCGCTCCCAAGGGCCCTCCCCATTTCCACAAGAATCAGTGAGTTAGTTGAGGATACAAGGAGATGCATAAGGAACTTGAAAGCGCCCCTCGCTTTGGCTCAGGATCCAGATGTTTGACCTGCCTCCGAAAAGGCTGGATCGCCAGCTCTCTGATTACACCCCCACGGCCTTGTCGCGGCCGAGCAAAATTGGGGTCACTCCCTCCTGTCCTCCTCGGATCGGATGCTAGGAAGCTGGCCCAGGTCCAAGGCTTTTCCAGACATTCCCGTCTGCAAGACGGGCTACGGTATTTTGTGTATTTCACAAAGGGCTGAGGCAGTCTGCACAAACCACACGATTTGCAAACTTAGACTGTAGTTGGTGCTAACAGCAGCATTTTGTGTGTTCTGCTGCAACGGGCGTCCAAGAAACCATGTGACTCTGGCACGGAGTTCACAGAATCGGTCTTTTTGTGCCCACCAGGGCACGAAAAGGCACGGACTTCGTGTGGTTTGTGCAAACTGCCTGAAGACCATGTGCTCTTTGAGTGCTGTTTTGTGTAAACCGGCCATTTTTATGCAATTCGAGCTAGATCCATTTGCTTTCCGGGTGCCAATTGCATAGATTGTGTAAATGTATACACATTTCCTTAGCAGTGGTTTTAATTTTTTTTAAAAGGCACTGATCATCTCAGGCATTAGCCACAGGCTGGGCCAAGTCACACCCTAGCAAGTTCTGGCAGACCAGAATCCAGGGAACCGGACTGTGAAACTGTGCTAGATTTTCACCCTTCGCCCCCTTCTCTGCAGTTTCAACCATGTTGAGAATGAGGAAGTGACGCAGAAAAGGCCAGACTGGGGGAAAGGAGGGAAGAAATACCATTATAGTAAAGAGCATCATATATGCAGCGAGCAAAGCTTTCCAAGCAAGCCCCATTGAAACAAGTGGGAGATTCCCCGTTCTTTCCAGGGGAACCTCTATAGGAGACTTTCCCGCTGGATTGTGTCCCTGATCTCCTGTTCTAAGTTTAGGTTAAAGTTGGGTCTAGGGTGGAGTTTGTGAAATGGCGCTTGTTCGGTTTTGCAGCCACGCCTGCTGAATCAAAAGAAGCTGCTCCACTTTTCTCAGTCAGAGCCGTGGTTTGAATGTGTGTCCTTATTCCAGGCATTCCAGCATGCAGAAACTGTTCAGTGTCTTGTCCTGTCCCGCCGGGGAAAGATGGAACCAGCTAAGAATATCTACCAGCCTCCCAGAGCTGGAGAGGTAAGGCTTTTCAGAGTGGGCCTAGCCTAGGACAGATTCCCCCATGGGTCTCCCAAAGCACAATTCATTTCTTCACTGTGGCAGCGTATCTTCCAGGCACGAGGGACATCATATCCTACTCTGAGTGCTTGGTGTGGAGGAAGCTTTAATTCTCAGATTTAAAATTTAAAAAGGAATTTGCTGAGAGCCAGAATGGTGTCATGGTTAAGAGTGCAGGGTTGGGACTCAGGCAATCTGGGCGCCACTTCCCACTAAACTGTGAAGCTCAGTGCATGACTTTGGGTCAGGCACAGCCTCTCAGCCCAGCCTACCTCACAGGGTTGTTGTGTGAGTAAGATTGAGAGGAGTAGAATTATGTAACCCATTAGTGAGTTCTTCGGAAGGAAAAACAGTGGGCTATCAATAGACTGAATGCATAAATACCTTTGCCCATTCAGAAATCTTGGGGTGGGGTACTTTTAAGAAACCAAGATAGCTTCTTTGATTCCAGTGCATGAAGCAGGAGGTGAGCGGGGGGAAGGCGCTCATGGAGGAGCAAGGAATTGATTCCTAATGTGGAAAATGGCTTATGGGACGAGGATTTCTCCCATCACACCAGGCCTTAATTGGAGGGATGTGCCTGTGCACTGGGGGACATTGAGGCCCCGTGTTACGGCCTGCCGTCCAGCCCCCCAGAGCTCCCACACCCGCCCCTGAGCGTAGGGGTGGCCACACTGATGGCCTCTCTTCCTCCGTCAAAGATTCCTGCAGCACTTCACGGTCAGCAGCGTGAGCAGCGAGGCGGTGCTGAGGGCCCACGTGCCTGTGCTGCTGCACCCGGCCACATCCAGAGCCGTCCCTGGGAATGAAGCGGAGCATGAAAAGGTGAGGCCGTCCTCGGTCTGCTAAAGGCCATGCCTTCACCGTAAGCTTTCGGCTTGCCTGCTCGTAGCTGCCATATCCGCATGGCCCAGGCAAGCCGGCGCCAGTGGGTTTTCATGGACTTGAAGGGCTCAGTTGTGTCTCCGTTGCCTTTATCTTTGGATTATTTGTTCTTCACGGGCTACCGAGCCTGAAAACCAAACTTGCAAAGCACTTTTTAAAATGGGAGCTCTGTGAAGAAGCTGCCAGGTGCTTTGAAATGGCAAGGGGCAAGATTCAGCGGAAGTACTGAGAGAACCTCATGGCTATGGCCCTGAGGTGCGAAATGCCCAGGGAGCTTCCGGGAGAGGGGCTTTTGCCAAGGGCCACCTTTTAGACCCGGTGATAAGCACAGCAATGTAATTTGACTCTCCCTTCTTTTTGAGGTGGTGATCACCATCGTAACGGGCCTTCCAGGATGCCGCTCCAGTGATCTCTGCTCTTTCCTGGTCACCTTTAACAAGGAATATGGGAGGTGAATAGAGCTTTACCTTTTTCCTTTCTGTACTCGCGGCTGCTTGGTGCACAGAGGCGGCAGGAGGCCTTGGTGGTGGGCCATGCAAAGGGGCGAGCCCTCTCCAGGTAGGCCCACCTCTCCGGAGGTCTCTCTGCCTCGGAGCCGCTTCTTAGGACTTCCTTGTCGATGTCGTTCTGCTGCCCACCCGTCTGGCGACTTTGGCTTCCACACGGCGACCTTGTTCATTGTGGAGAATGCCTGCTGCTGCTCCCTGGACAAGCTCCATCTCTTGGAAAAGGGGGACAGGCACAGGGGGGCAGTGATTTGCTGGAAAGCAAGTGTGGGCCAGCGGTGACCCTCAGCCCCATGGCAGGCCACCCTCCGTTCAGACCTCTGGCAAGAGTTGTTTGGGGAGGAAGCAGGAGAGGCGGAGGAGGGCCCCCCCACACACATCTGGCTCTGGGCCCAGCATGCAGCCCCTCAGATTCCTCCTGGGGGAGTGGGGCCCCCAGCAGAGGACAGGATGCCCTCCCGCCGTAGAAGAAACCAGAAATAGCCTGCCTGCGTCGTGTTCCTGTTTCAGGTGGCTTGTTTATCGCCAGACCATGGACAGCCCCGAATGTTTCAGTGCGGCCCACTTCCAGAAGTACCTGGCCAGCGTTCTGGAATCCCAGCGCAACCGCAGCGCCCGTCTCTCGGCTTTCAGCAGGAAGAAGATGAGGCTGCTGGTGGTTCTGCAAGGGTAGGGGACCCCTTTTCGACCGAGCTCCGATCTGTCTCTCAAAGCGTTCTCGCCCCTCTTGCTCCCAGCTCACACTAGCCAGGACGGCGCTATTCATTTCTGCAAACTTAGTTTCTATTTCCCGATTTTAAGTTTTTTCTCTCTTCCTCTGACCTTCGGGTGGGACCTTATAATCTTCTGGTTTCCTGAGCAAAATGTCTTGACCTCTGCATTCTGACTAAACATTTAACTTTTGGATGAAACGCTTTCTCTGTCTCTCTCTCTCTCTCTGTCTCTCGCTTGCTCGCTAGCAAGCAAGCAAGCAAGCAAGCAAGCAAGCAAACTCTCCCAGAATCAGCTCAGACCAAAAAGTGCAGAGCATTTTGGTTCCTTCACAATACCTGGTAGCCTCGACCGTTTTTGTACTGGAATTTGCTCCAGCACATGAGTTGTGCAGCTAGACTTTGTCTGGATACAGATCTGCTTGTACATATCTGCAGCAAAGGTCCTTGAGAGCACGAAGATTATAGTTTTAACCAAGTGTTCCTCTTGTGCAGTCCTTTGATCTCAGCGGGGGTGGCAGGGGAGGGCGAAACGCCCTTGCATCAATTGCCAGAGCAGTGCCGCTTCCTTCTGCCCCCAGGAATCGGACGATGCGTACTTTCTCCGATCTGTAACGCACCTCACATGCACACGCCCTGCCAGAAGCGCTGGCACCAGCACCGTCGCTGCCCTGCCCTGCCCTGCCCTGGCCTGGCCCTGCCGCTCCCCAGCCTTTCGCTTCGTGTTCTCTGCAGGTACACAGATGTGATTGACGTTGTGCAGGCCCTTCAGACGCATCCAGACGCTGATGTGAAGGCCTCCTTTGTCATCGGAGCAATCACCACCTGCGTGGAGCCGCTTAGCTGCTATATGGAGCACAGGTATGCTTTTCCGATCCCTCCACCTGCAGCACGGGGCTTTTCTCCGCCTTCCCAAGGCCACAGGGACTGGTCCCTTTCACTTACACTGGAGTCTAAAATTCTGCGACCGGGGAACCCAAATCCTGCCAGTTTGCTCCGTTGGGTCAGAAGAGTCAAATGTATTTCATAGGAGGAGAGCACCAAGGGGAAGCTTGGGTGATTAATAGTCTTTTCTTGGAAATGAAAGCTGACCAGATTCAAGCTAAGCATCTCGATTGTGCAGACCGCCGTGGAGGATGGGAAAGGAACTCCCACAACCCAGCTCATGGGCTATCAGCAGGAGTTGACACACAGCCAAACGCCCCGCGCTTTAAATAGCACAATGCGAGCGCTTTAAGAAGGTGTTTAGGTTTGCCCCTCCCAGCGGCTGACCTTTCCAACAATAAATGGAAGGATAAATCCGGATGGGCTAGTAAAAAGTGGAGCTGCTTTTTGGCAGCAAAGTGGATGGAGAATCAATAGATAGTTGCGCGCACGTAGGAACGCCCTCAGCTGCCTGCCCCTGTTTAAACTTTGTGGAAAGTGGAGAGCCCCGCGCCACTTGGAGATGCCCGTTTCCCTCTTGTCCCTTTTCGTAACACCTGAGCAAACACTTGTGGTCCTGGGCACTGCCATGTCCTACAAGCACCATGTTCTGATTAGCCTGCGGCGATAGTGGCGACGGCAGAGCCGTTTTTCTCTGCGGTTTTCCTGGCCGTCCTCTTTCGCAAGTAAAGTGCTCTTGCGGTGTTGCTGTCGCTTGACGGCTCACCTTTTGACAGCTTTCGGGAGATAGCAGTGTGAGGAATAAAGTTCATGGCGGTCTCTCCAGGGCAGCCCCCCTCTTGGGTGCCCGCTGCGTTTGACAGTGGACTCCCCGCTCCCCAGAACGTTCCCCGGGAAGGCTTAGCCCTTCGGAGCCACACAAGCGTGCGCTGGCACAAGTCTGTCTCCAAAGTTAATACTAAAATGTTAAAAAGTTTGAGCCAATTTCTTGTCTCAAAGAATCATTTAAAAATGGGCGACAAACAGTGCCAGCCCGTCCGTTGTGCACTTCTGGCCCTTGGAAGGGGGTGTCACTTGCCGTTGAGTTGTGATCTCTGTGGGGGAGGGGACGGGGCCGAGCCAGGTGTGACAAGGGGCACCGATGCAGTGACGGGCACTCCACCCTGCCAGCTGGCGCTGATGGAGACCCAGGATAGCTTAGCGAGAGCAGCAGTGGGTTTTCTTGGCTCACTGCCTGCGTCCTGCAGTGCACCATGGGCTTGGTTACCTGGCGGCAGTAACCCCAGCAAGACCTGTGTTTGCCCACAGATGAAGCTCCCGTGTCAGAATCGATGTACATGCATGTAATAGGACAGCCCGCCGTAGTTCAGCCTCCATGATGGGCTTATGTGTCACGTGCACCTGGCTCCCGCTGTCTTTTGAGTGCCGGGGAAGATCTTTCTTTCCTCCAGACATTTTGGGTCTCAGGGCTCCTCTCGGTCGCCTTCTTTATTGCCTGAAAAGGGAGTTTTTGCATTTGTCCAACGTACCATTTGTTGTATTTCCATTGCATTTGATTTTTTACCCGTTTGTAATCCATGAGCATGCGTTCTTGGGTAGGTTTTGCAAAGTGCAATGCATTGGAACCACCCCTCATTCCTCCTCCCCCCCCGCCCCGCTTGCTAGTGGAAACCCTTCGTGAACTCTCCGTCGTGCAACAACTCACACTGGGATTTCTGTGTTGCAGGTTTCTTTTCCCCAAATTCCTGGACCAGTGTTCACAAGGTAAATCTTCCTTAAACATTCCTAGAGCAGTGAGGCTGAGCGCCTCTGAGGAGGGCTGGATGCGCCGAGCAGTGCGTCCCCCGATTCCCAGCCTGTGAGCCATGGGGTTGCCATCCAGCTCAACCTGGGTGGCCGCCGGACTTCTTCTCGGGAAGAAACCTCTGCACTGCCTAGGGGGGGCCACACAGGACGGCGAGTGCCAGTGGCGTGGCGGAGTTCAAGAAAGTGGGACAGGCTGGGGAAGTCTGTTTTAGGAGAAAACATTTCCTGCTTCCAGCATAAAACTGGAGCCATTAAGTCTGCAAGGAAAACCTTGAAACACCGAGGCCGAATCCCTACAAACTGGGCAGAAATTGAAGCCAGCCACTCCCCGCTGCCCCCTTTGGTCTGTTCTGTGCTTGCTCCTTGGGATGCAAGAAGAGAGCAATCTTATCACCGCCATTGCTGAAAAGAGCAAACCGCCAGTTTCTGCTTCCTTTCTTTCCCGCTTGCCAAGCAAAAGCAGCGACTTGGTCCCCAGGAGCAGCCTGGTGCCGCTATAGCAGAAGCTGCTTGCAGGGCATGCGTCCCTTGCCTTTTTCACAGCGGTCACACGAACCGCCCAGACCCCGTAGCGTCTCGAGGGCTGTTTCTGACATGTCGATGAGCTCATTCAAAGGCACTTCACAGCAAAAAGCCTTTAGCTTTGCTGACAGCTGAAAGCGTTGCCAGAAAACGGAGAGTCCTCGCAGCGAGACTACCGCAAAGCTCAGAGAGAAAGAGAAAGCTCTTACAGTACCGTGCACGGCTCTCCGTGGGGTTTGGGGCAGCAGGCTAGCACAGGTGTCCTTCCGAAATGGTTGCACTTCAGGTGCAACAGGTGCAATTACCTGTTGCAGGTGTTGGGACGAGGGGCTCCTTGGTTCTTAGTCTCTCTGGCTCTGCCCCATAGGAGAGCCACGCGTCGTGCCCCCTCCCTCCTCCGAGCCACATTCCGCTTCAAAGAGGCTCTCGGGAGCTGCAGTCCAGGGTGGGCCGGGCTGAAGACGAAGGGGCAGCACCGAAAACACCAAGTGGGGCTTCAGGCTCTTCCTTCCTGGAACTAAGCTCGAGAAAAGGTGTTTTCACCTGTCCGACTGGGGGGAAGTTGCATTTCTCTGGGGAATCGCCACGTTTGCAGCTGCTGAGAAAAAGACAAACTGCCATGCCGAGCATAATTAGGACGTTGGCCGTTAAAGTGCCGGGAGCCTTCTCCCCCGGTACAAAACCGTGCTGTGCTCATGTTCAGAATACTGTGCACAGCCGTGGTTGCCATACCTGGAAAAGGAGGTGGTAAAAAGTGCCGGGAAGGGCCAGTAAAATGGTAAAGGGGTTGGAACAAGTTCCCTGTGGCAAAGGGCTGCCGCACTGGGCTTTCCTTGGCGTGCAGAAAAGGCAAGCGGGGGGGGGACCGTGACCCGGGGCGCACAAAGGTGCACACCGCAGGGGACGTGAGGTTCCTCTCATCATGGGGAGCACACAGGGCTTGCCCTACGAGCAGGCGGGTCGGAGCTTCAGGGCCGATGAGCGACAGACCTTTTTCAGGCATCGCACGGCTGAACTCTGGAACCCGCCTTGCCCAGTATGGTGCTGGTCACCCCTCCGGGTGGGCTTAGAGGGGATCCTGCAGATCCTGGGGGAGGGGCCGTCTGTGGCTGCCGGTGCGGACGGCCCTCCACCACCTCCGGTGCTGGAGGTGGCATGCCCATGTTCCTCAGTGGTTGGGGAACATGGGTGAGAGGGTGCCAATGCACTCCTGCCCTGCTTGTGGGCTTCCCTGGCTGGAGCCGGGGGTCAGGCTAGATGGCCCGGGAGGCCCCTTCTGGCTCACTCTGTTTCCGTGTTTCCCGTGGGGGCGCCCGCTTGGCCACTCGGTGGAGGGAAGGCTGGACCAAAGGGACGCCTGGGCCAACCTGGCACGGACGCTTTCTGGGTCGAAACGAGGGAGGCACAGGGAGGGCTGTGGCCCGCGTCCTGCACCCCGATGGAGAGGGTCGGCCACAGTGCAGCGGGAGCAAGAGTGGCGCGTGCCCCTCGGAAGCCAGCGATGTGGCCGAGCAGTGTGCGCCGGGGATCCTAAAGGGGGCGGGGAAGATTGACCGGAGGCTCCCCTCCCAGCTGCACCTGAGCAACCATGGGGCTGGGAACCCCTGTTCCCCACAGTGGGGGGCACCTTCTTCCCCCCCAAGGCCAATTTCTCGGATGTGGAGGAATGTTTTCCCTTGAGCCGCTCAGCTTCTCCTCGCTCTGCCTCCTCGCCGCTGACCTGGAGGGCTCTGCCCTCTCCTCTCGGAGGTGCTTCCCCAAGGAGGTCGCCATCACTCGCGAGTCATAAGTACGTACAGGCGTGTTCGTAACGCCTTGGCACTGCTCAGGGGGAGCTTGGAGGAGAACGCAAGGCCGTCGGGACAAACGTCGTGGTCTGCGGGGGGGTTGCAGTGCCCGCCAACAGCCGTTCCCCGACACACACCTGCAGACAAGGCTAACGAGTGCCAGGGGCAACGGGAGGGAATTGGCCGTTTTGGAAAGCAAAAGCCAACCTGCCGGCGTGCGTTTGCAAGGAGCAAGGAAATGCCAATGCGTGGGTTTGGTAATTTCGATCTCTGTTCTCAAAATGAGGCCAACTGCTTTGTAGAGGAGTCCCTGAGCAGATTTCTGTCTTGCTGCTGCGAGAGCGGAGCGCCGGGCCCCTTCTCTGCAGAGTTCTTTATTCCTCCCAGCTCTGCCTTGGCACATTTGTTCCTTCCAAGGAGTTGAAGATGGCCTCGGTGGGAGTAATCCTGCTTTATCCTCCCCACAAGTCCGAGGGTAAGCAGTCCCACACCAGGCCGGTTTCATATCCAAGAGGCAGGTTGGTCGGGACCCGCCCTTGTCCGGGGCACCGCACCGAAAGCACCCTGCTTGTGCCCCCAAACAGCCACATCTGGGGTGCAGCAAAGGGCCAGCAGCTGGAAGGTCGGCATCCGTGGGTGAGGGGGGCAGGCGGCAGCACAGCCAGTGGCTCTGGGCTTTGTGAGCTCAGGAGAAGCTTCGGTCGGTGACTCCCAAAGAGTCGCTTGAAGGACAAGTGGGCGGCAGCCCGTCAAGTGGCTGTGTTGACAAGCGACAGGAGAGCGGCTTTGCAGTGTGGCGGCAACTTCAGGGTAGTGCTGAGCAGCTTGTGTGCAGGCAGGCGCAGCGGGTCCGTTCTGCACGGAGCGACGTCGTCTGTTGCTCAGATCGCAAACGTCTAGCTCCTCCACCAGGTTCTGGCTCCGGGGTTCGTCCAGGAAAGAGCACGTGAGGGTTTGCTGCGCTGTGGTCCTGTAATGGCATCAGGGGAGTATGCAAGGGGGTGTTTCTCCTCAGAGGGGGAGGATGGAGCTGTGCACCGTGGGAGCTGATGGGAAGGCAAGCCAGCACTCCCCGTGGGCAGCTGGGTGGCCCTGCACGACCCAGCGCAGAAAACGGTTCTGTGTGGCGGGGATGTCGGGAGGAGAGGGCCATGCCGGATGAGCCAGGCACTCGAACCTTGTCAAATGTCAGCGAGGGACCCTGCAGCGCCCCCCCCCCAATTCACGTTGAGCATCGGTCTGACGCGCCTTTCCCCTTTGACCCTGCCCTGCCACTGGCTTCTCAGGTGATGTGGCAGCGATTTCCATGAGCTGGACCGGGAAGGGCTTCGTTTGCTTGCTGATTGTCTTTTACATGTGTGAACCTGTTGCGTTACCACCCGGGAAGGTGTCTGCAACGATCCAGAAAGGTGTCACCTTTCAGTGGAAGATCTTACAGCAGGTGCTCTCAAAAAGAAACCCAGTGCATATCAGCAAACAGACTTCAGATCTGCCCCGTCTTGCTTAAACAGGCCTGTTTGCTTGTCTGGATTCGTGTTTTCTACTTCATTCCGGGGGCAAAACAGAGAGGATTGCCCCATCACTTCCCGCAGGGACATTCTGAGTGAGGGGTCGGGACAGCGCTTCCCGTCTGCAGCCCATCCTGGGAGAGCCGGCCTTACCCTTGAGACCCTCATCTTGCTCTCAAGCCAGGGCACCATCCCTGACGAACGCTCTGTCGTAAACGGCCCATCTTCTTTCCTTCGCAGGCCTGGTGAGCAACGTGGTCTTCACAAGCCACACCATGGAGCAGAGAAACCCACTCCTCGTCCAGCTGCAGAACCTCATCCGAGCAGCAAACCCAGCTGTTTCGTTCATCTTGGCAGAAAACGGGGTTGTGACGAGGTAATTGTGCTGTTCCCCTTTTTCCCTAGCAGCCACTTCTAACGAGCAAGTGAGAAGGAAGTCCTTGTTTGGTTTTTAACACAGGAATAAAAATGTGAGCAATCCCATATAGGCCGGATCCAGATGACATGAGAACCCACACTTAAAGGTTGAGTGTCAGGTGCTGTTAAATTATGGGTTATTGCATCGTGCACCAACCAGCTACAACCCATGATCCACAAACTACCCATGAAGAGAACCCAGGATGTATTGTTGATTTATGAACTCGGAATTATTCACTAGACTGTCATTTCAGCTGGGTTTCGGAAATATGACAACCCATCTTTCAACAACAACTACTCACAGTTCAGTAGCAACCCATACTCAGCCCTTGTGGGGGTGTAATTGCGTAGCTCGAACCCAGCCGACCTCTGTCTGGGCCATTGATGGAATTCCATCCTTTTCAGTCCAGAGTGGATAAACATCTGTGAGCAGATGAAGATTGCTGGGAGTAGAATAGTGAGGAGGGAGGGGAAGGCAGTAAAAATGCAAGGAAACCTTTTGAGCAGGATTCTCCACAAGCCTTTGGATCTCTTTGTGTACAGCCTGAGGCTGATCATATTATTCTTTCCCTGGAGGAAGAAACCTATAAATGGCAGCAGGCTGTAAAAGAGGCCCAGTTTGGGAATATATTTTAATGGAGCTCCTTCATCTACTGGTAAGGCGCACATGTGTGCAAATTATGTTGAAAATCACAATTTAAATCTAGTCTTACTGACTGTTGATTTAAATCGTGATTTAAATCAATCTGGTTTAAATCAAATCCACCCTGGTTGTTGCTAACTCTTTTTGCAAGTTGGTGTTCCAGGATTGTGATTCACCAAGGGTTTCTTCGTAGGCCTGATTGACACTTGAAAGCAGCTATTGGGCCTTTTTTTGCAAAGGGGCTAAAATGTTTGGGGTGGGAATACTTCCTAAGCCTTAGAGGGCTTTTCACCACTCCATATTTAAGAAACTCACAAGGCTAGAAGCACCTGCAAGACTGTAAAAATCGCAAGTCAAGAAGCATCGGATCGTCATAACTTGGAGTGGAAGGTAGAGAGCGATTCCTGCAGGAGGGACTGTACATAAATCTTTACTCCTTTCCCACCAGGAATGAAGACATCGAGCTAATTCTGTCTGAAAACAGCTTTTCCGACCCGCAGATGCTGACAACCCGCTACTTAACATATCCTGGCTGGCAAGTATCTCCCCTGGCAAAATATTCAAGGGCAATAACTTTTAATAAACATGAGCATTGTAAAGCAACTTTGATTTATTTCCCCATCCATTTAATCTCTCCAGCTAAATCACTCTGTTAATGAAATGCTGTGATGAGATTCTTAGAGAAATATCGTCAGTCACCTTTCCGGTCCCATTTGTTAATTAAAAGATTTCGCCTAAAGGGGACAGTTCTGTGAAACTTTAAAAAAGCAAGTGGACCTGAAAGGCAGCCTGGCTCCTGGTGAGCTTTAAAGCTTTTCCAGCTGCCTCCACTTGTTCAGTCTCCACCCATGTGCTAGGATCTGCCCTGTGGGTCCTTCTGACTGCCTGCTATTAAGGCGATCGGTCCACTACAGATGACCCCAGATCGGTGGCCTCAAATCTCTGGAGCTCTCTTCCCATCAGCCAAAGCCTTGCCCCTTCCGCCCTGGCTCTCAGGCAAGCCTCGCAGATCTTCTTTTTCAGGGGTTCCTTCTATCAACAGAACAGCTTCTTCCGCAGTCCCTGGATGTCATCTTAATGGGATCACCAGTGATTGATACCTTGTTCCTCACTTTTTCTGTATGCTGCTTTGGGAAGGCCTAATTCTACAAGTGGCTTCAAAACCTTAAATTAATTCAAGTTGTTTATGCTGGTACAAATACCCTTGAAATTCAGGAGATTTTTCTCAAAGGGGGCAGAGTTCCACTGGATTACCTCCTGCAGCTTTTTAAGGTAGATACTGAGCTGAGGAGCATCCTTGTAGTTGGGCGAGTACAGAAGATAGATGAAGGGTGCACTTAGTGGGAAGGAGGGAGGGTGGGTGGCAGAAAAAAGGGGAATATTTGGGAGCCGCCTTTCAGTTGGGAGACATTCGTGAGCCAAGAGGGAAAAGCTTCCGCAGGGAGAAGGAGAAAAGTTGCATCGGGGGAAGGAATTTGGGGACAGGGAAATGCACTGGGCATCCTTGACGTTTTGAATGCCACCAGTTCCCCCATCTTCCAAGGGGGATCGGTTGGATGCCATGCCTGGGTCGGCACTAGCCCATCCTTGCATTGGTGCATCGGCCCCACAGGTGGCCCTGAGGAGGGGGTGGCGCCAGAGCGGTCCTTGCAGCTTCGAATGCCTTGTCACTCCGCCTTAGACTCCCACCCTCCGTTCATTATCATGTGCACGACCGTACGAAGCCGCCTGTATTCTGACTTGCGCCGGTCATTCCCCTGCTCTGCTCTGCCCTGCTCTGCTCTGACACTTGATCCAAGCCATTTCCACGCGCTGCTTCCTGGGATTTTTAACGGAGATGCAGAAACCATCCACGTGCAAATCATACACTCCTGCAAATCATGCCTTTCCCCTTAAGTTGTGCAAATTAGTACTTAGAGAAAGCAATTTTCAGATCATGTCTTGGCACGGCCTCCCAAATTAGAGGTGAACCTTACAGGGAGGCCTAACTGAAGTCCAGCTGAGTGGAAGTCCTGTTGTTTTGTGTCCTGCGTATTGTATACATACAGTGCCGCTGAAAAGAGTCTGGTGGACGGATTTTAAGGAAGACAACATTGGCATTCATGGCATATTTGTGGGTTTGCTACAGGCAGCTAGTGCAGACAGAATGCTGGACTCGAGGAACCCTTGAGCTGATCCATCGTGGCCCCTCCCTCCCTCCCTCCCTCCCTCCTGCCCAACAGCTGGACAGTTTGCAGTGTTCCAAATGCTGAAAGACTGCATTAGTCTCAATTCCTCATCTGGCCCCAGAAGACTCCCCCCCGCTTTCCCTTTCTGGAACAATAGGAATCCCCCTCCCACACTTCAGAGGTGTTTGACCCCCTCACTCACTATTTCCCTCCTCGGATCCTTTGGTTTCGTCCAATAGGCCTGTTGAGGGAAAGTAGCAAAAGTCTGTCCATTGCCCTGACGGTCGTTGAACAGTGGATCACGCTGGCTTGAGCTTGGGGAAGTGATGAGTAATGGACTGCGCTGTATTTTCAGGCATGACGGCAAATTCCGGGCAGGTTCCGTCTTTCCTCCAATGGTTCAGATTTGCGTGTGGTTTAACCGTCCTTTGGAGAAGACGCGCTTCGTGGCCAAATGTAAAGGTAAGAAGCCGTGCTGCAGGTCACACGGAGGTTGCTATCAAGGCGGTGTGTTCTTGCTGTAATTGCTAGCAAATCCCGTTTGTGCCTGGTGGTCGCCCCCCTCCTCCCACAGGTCAGCGTGTTCTTCACTCGCGTTCGTTCACGGGAGCGTCGGGCCTGCAACCTTAAACCTTTCTGCTGTGAGCACAGAGCAGATGCTGCCGGTGAAGGGAAGGGATCTGGTTTGCCGGACTTGGTTCGCCACGTTGCATCCAGCCACACAGCTGGGCACGGGGGCTGCTCAGCTTTCATTTCTAGGGGGAAACGTCCCTCTAGCTGCTTTGGATGGAAAGAAGCGTTTAAAGACGAGACCCAGCGGGTATTTCCGAAGGGACCAGGAGGCTCTGAGTTAGGTTGCCGGTGCCCCGATGAGCCTCCAGTCATGCTGGTCCTCTGGCTGTGTCTCCAAGCAACTGGCAGTGGGGGCTCTCTTAGCAACGTGCCACCAGTCTCCTGGGAAATGCACCATTTCTCTGCCCCCGAGCTGCTCTGGGACACTCCGGAAATTTCGGAGCAGCTCCCCAGGCCTGGCCCGCTTCAGGGCAGGCACAGGGTCTTGCTGGGATGTCACTGACTGCCCAGGGGAGCTGGCGCTGGGCCGATGTCTTCTCCTTCCCTGGGAGGAGCTGCAGTAGAGGAGATTATGCAAAGCAGGGGCATGAATGCATAGATTTCCCTAGATGCATGCAGATTGTGACTTGGCTCTTCCTGGCACGGGAGCGTGTTGCTGTTCTTCAGCACAAGCCGTGCAGAATCTGGGCTGTCGTTCTCAGTGTTTCATAGCGCGCCCGTCTCGTCCCTGACAGATACGTGGGTGTGATGCTTTTGAACCGCCTAGGCAGATGCAGTCATGGCCTCATCCAGCGTCGCGGGTGCGGGTGCTGAGGCTCCCCTGAGAGCCTTGCCCCAGGCCACCAAGCGCTTTGGCGGCTGAGGAGAGCATTAAGCTGGAGTCGGCCTGGCTCATTTCTTTGCTGCTTTGCGGGCGACGTCGCTGTGAAGTGGCCGAGAGTGGGTAGTTGGCGGGGTGGGCAGGAGAGGAGGGAGAGAACTGAGGGTCTGTTGGATTCGTTAGATGGGGATCAGGAGCAGAAGCTGTGGTGACGGAGCCCGAGAGTTGCGCAGTGCTTGGAAACGCCGCCTCAGGCAATGAAGCGTCCCCCAAATGTTGCTTGAACTCGACTGTGCCACCATGAGGGCTAGAAACCCTTTCAAACAAACGCTTGGAACCCCAAATTCTCCACCAGCTTCTAGATTTTAGCATGAAATCTCAGCCCAAGTAGCTCAGCCTGGACGGCAGTTTCCACTGCCCTGGGCCAGCAGGCCTTATGCCCCAGCTGGCTGAAAGGGGTGGCAGAATTAGTGGCCCCTCGCACCTTGAGGGCGGCTGGAATAGCGGTGCCCTCGTGCTGGAAGTGCATCCCTGTTGGTGTGTTTCCAGTCGTGTTTTAATGTATGTATTTCACCATTGCTTGCGTCAAGTCTTGGTTTCCTTTGGATCCTAATGATTGCGAAGCGCCCCGTGGCAGGCATTTTCCTGGTGGACAGGTGGGTTCCAAGCCAGAATCGTTCACAATATAATCCTGTGAGGTCGTTGTTAAAGCTCTGAGTTACAGGCACCCACAGAGGACAGAAAGAGGGCCAGGCCAGAGGCCGCTGTGGGCTTCCCCCACCCGGCCACACTCGGGCAGCCGATGTCAGCCGTCTCAGAGCTTGGCCTCGGAGCGCAGGGGAAGGGGCTGACGCGCCACCGGGATGCACCGTAGGCTAGCCGAGCCGGTCGCCTTCCTCCCCGGCCCCCTCCCGCCCCCAGAGCTCCGACCTCGGGGTGTGTTTCCAAGGGTGGAGCCAGACTTCAGGAAATGCCAGTGGCCGTCTCGGCTCCGGATCACCCTGCTCTGTGTCCTCCTCTTCCGTGTAAGCATGTAGCTATTCGTCCAGTTTATTCACAGGACCCTGCCCATGTAGCTGCCCCAAGAGGACTCTTTTTGAATAATAACATTCGTAATGGAGTCTTTCGAAAGAAACCCCTTCCCTCATCCGCAGCGCGCATGTCTGGCTAGGCGTCTGAGCAGGGTTATTCAGCTTGCAATGCTGGAGGCGTCAACAGTTCTTGCTTTCCGGCCCTTATTTTATAGCCTGCACAGATTATTCTCGAGTGACCCATGTACGGCAAGTGACCCCTAGGGGGCGCTGCAGCTCCCGGCCTGAGCGCGGCAGATGGGACTAATCTCAGTGTGTTTGTGTTTTGCATTTTCCAACAGCGTTAAAGTCCTCCAATAAGCCAAGTCCTTTCTCGGGAAACATATACCACATTCTGGGCAAAGTTAAGTTTTCAGGTAACTGGTAAGCCTTTTTCCCTTCCCCTGCATGCTGGCAGGAGTATTTCCAACTTGGGTTCTCCGAGGACATGCATGCGGTCCCCTCGCTGGCGCTAAGCACACCCTATGAATGGCGGAAGGGCTTGTGAGGGCCTCTTTACAACGAGCAGAGCGTCGCAGCCCCGAAATTAAAAGGGCCGTGTTGTTAACGAGGAACGGCGCCCACATGACTGTACCCGTTTCTTCCCTGTCCAACCTGGTGCTCTCCAGATGTTTTGCACCACAGCCCCCATCAGTCCCAGCCAGCACGACCAGCAGCCAGAGAGTTGTGGTCCAAAACGTTGCGGGCTGCAGTGTGTGACGCAGCCGTGCCTCGAAAGGGGTTGCTGGCCCACTGTGACTTGCGGCAGCATCTTTCTAGTGTCCCCAGCAGAAAGACAACGCTCCCCGCCTCCTACCTGGAAGTCAGGAGGATTGTCGTTCCCCAGGTCTTCCGTGGGCAAGGCGTGTCCCCCAGCAGCCAGTGCCGAGGGCTGCAGGAGAAGGAGGAACCCGTGAACACCCCTGCCCAGCAGGCCCAGCATCAGCACAATCCTCAGCTGGATTTGGACCTCCCCAGAACACAGAAAGAGGGTCCTGGGCCCCAATCCTATGACACCAGTTTTCTAGAAACGCATGCTGGTTTGATGCCCGTGTCCCCTCGCAAAATGGTCATCTCTGCTTAGTCCAGAATTCTTGTCCTGGTTTATCTTGTACAGATTTCCCATTTTTCTTTTAAGGACTGGGTTTGACTTGAGAGTTGACAGATTTTATTATCTCCCCTAGGGTAAGGATGTAGTTGTATTTTATGTTTATGAAGGACATTGTGTATGTATTGATATCAGTAAGGGTACATTAATATGTCCATTGGTGTGTATTGATATCCGTATAGTACATCGTACATATGTCCATTGGTCATATTAGCGAATGTGTGTTTTTATTTTAAAAAGTGAGATAGGAGCCTCACAAGTCAACTCCTGGCCCAAGTGGCTGCGGAGATTTGAAGTGCAGTGGGGTGCAGTGGGGTGCCCCTCATCCCAGTGGAACCTCGACACTCAGCTCCTCTTCCGTTCTGCCCCAGATTCTGACCGGATGATAGAAGTCTGCCACAACGCCATTTCCAACTCACTGAGCCTGGTGCCGGTGCAGGAGGGGCCGACTCCTCCCCCCGATCCCCGAAGCGACGGCCGAGACCACGGCGGCACTCAGGAGTGCTTCCTGGTCTTCGTCGGCTGCTCCCTCAAGGAGGACGACATCAAGGACTGGCTGAGGCAGACAGCCAAGCAGGTGGGTGCCGCAGCCCGGGTCCTCCTCCATGGCCTGTGGGCATCCCACGTAGGGGGCTGGCCCCACCTTTGCGCATTGCAACATCCAGCTGTCCCCGGCTGGAAGGGGGCCACACCAGACCCCCGCCTTTTGTGCCGCCCCCCCGCCCCCTGCCATCATCGCCACCGCACTGGCAAAGAAGCATCCCCTTTGCTTGCAAACAGGAAACGTGGGGAGGGCCCAGCGGGTTTGGGAGCAGAACTGTGCTGCGGTGCGCCTCGCTCTCCAGCACCGTTGTCACTTTCGGTGCCTCTTCAGCGGCAAGTTCAGACCTTACTTCCTAAGCAGCATCTCCAGCTTGGGCTCGAAGGAACCCAGCCTGACTCTGTGGAGAGCTGCTGCTGCCAGTCTGTGCGGCCAGTGCTGGGCTGGGTGGGCCTCAGTCCAGAGAAGGTGCCTTCCTGTGTTCCTTTTCTCATCCTTTCGGCCGAAGCATGTTCGTGAAAACCCACTGCATCACTAAAGAAGATCCCACAGCAACCCTCGTGGCATTACCTTAACGCTGCAGCACCCGCTACCTTTAACTAGGGCTGCATGGAACCTGCTGGGAAAACTGGATAGCTTTGCTGGGTTATCAGCACATTCTTTCATCCAAGGCGAAGGATCCCCAAATCCCCCTCGTATTTTGCATCTTTGGCTCGAATTATAAAACGAAACCCCTCCCGGCCTCTTGCTCAGGATCTTCGAGCCGGCATAGTCCTCCAGATAGGACCCACAGCTCCCATCAGCCCCAGCCAGTACAGCCAGGGGTGCAGGCTGCTGGGCATTGCTGTCCAGCAACCTCTGGAGGGCCACATGTGCTCCATCCCAGCAGCAGGGTCCGTGAAGCAGAAGAGCAGGTGGCCCCCAGCTGTGGAAATGCCGCGTTCTCTTCTCCAGAGGTGCGGCCCTGGTTCTGACCAGAGCATCCAGCAGGAGCTGCACCTGCTTTGTCCCCACTAAGACAGAACCCACCTACTTTACATCCTGTAATCGAAGAAGCAAGAGGCAGTTCTGGCTGGGTAGCGGGTGCCGAACTGCAGAGCCTCGTGTGCCGCGCCCTGGCAGCGCTCTCCCGTAGTCCCCGAGATGAACGATGAAGAGGAAATTAGGGGCTGTGGCTTGAGCACTTTCTCATGAGTGGCCTGCTTGTTCTGTTTCACAGTGCTGCGGCCGTCAAACAATGGCACTTCTTTCCCCCCTTGTGGGGGATCTCTGGGAGCTTTCACGCACGAATCCTGGCTCCAAATTAAACTGACGGGTCGAGTGTTTTCAGTGTTCCACCCACATCTCTCTCCCAGACAGTCGCTGACATGCTCGCTCAGCTTGGGGTGCGGGGAGAGTCCTATCTTGCAGAAATTGGCTCCCTCAGCTTCACCCTGCATCTTTGCCGACAACCGAATCTGCACGAAATTGCATTTATGTTCACATTTCCGTCAGTCTCCTCCAGCCGTCCCCAAGCTGGTGTCCCCCAGAGGTGTTGACTGCCACCCCCAACGTGGGGTAGTCTGACTTGACTGGAGGCACCCCTTGGGAGAGGCTGCGCCCCTTTGCTGATCGCGGATCTTGCTTGCAGGCCTGCCGTAAGATGGAGCCACGGGACAACCCAGCTCCGCAAGCCTCATGGGGCAGGGTGGTGCTCCTTCCAACCCAGCGAGCCAGAGAAGCAGCCGCTGTGGCAAAGTGAGCTGCAGGATGGCCTGGTTCGCTCTGCTTTCTCCCTGTCCCTCGGGCAGCTCCGCTCCCGTCCGTGAGCGCCCTGGCTCCCTGCAGCCTGTCCCACCGGGGTGATGACTCGACCGACAGCGCCTGGGTGCCCTTCAGTGCAGGGATAAGCAGCAGGTAGAGGCCCAGAGGGCTTGGACTTCCAGCTTGCAGAACCCCTGCCTGGCGCTGCCAGTGGTCAGGCCTGCTGAGGCTCCAGCTCAGGCGCTGCGGGGCCCTCCTGCCCGCCCTCTTTCAGTGCCTGGCAGCCGTGGCTCCTGGGACCGCTGTGCGGGGCCTCGCAGGGGGGACTGCTGCCAGCTGGGACAGTCGCCTGCCCCTCGGGCCACTCACTCAGGCTCAAGTGCATGCGATGTGTGAGCTCCTGCGTGGGCACCGCCTTTCTTGCCCTGAAGCAGCTCTTGCAGGGGCCCAGGACACCCGGGCAGAGCCTTCCGGCTCTGCTTGTGGGCTTTCTGGCAGCATCTCACGGGGGAAATGAGAGATGAAAAGTGGCTGTTCCTTACAGCTGTGCGGTCCGTGATCCCGGCGCCTTGGCATGTGGATTCTGTGGTAGATGAATTCCTTTGCCGCTCACGTTGGAGCCACACCGGGGCTGGGGGGCGGCGGGGGTGATTCGGAGGTCTGAAGAAGATTGGCGCTTGGGCTTCCTTGGACGCGAGTCGAGTCCTCCGCAGGATTCCGTGGGGGCCACTCCCGTCCGTGTGGCGCAAAGCCCCCTTCAGATCTCTTCAGCCCCTTCAGTGCAGGAAGGCCGAGGACGGAAGCCTTACGCGGCCCGGTTCTGGGAAAAGCATGCTTCTCTCCCACATCGCTCGCACCCCCGTTGCACAAACGGTGGGCTCGGAGCAGAAGGCCACGGTCTTGCTCTTGGTGACTTGCTCCGTAGTAGCACCGTCCTCGCTTCCTCACACGTAACACAGACGCATGCATGAATCCCCAGGATTGCATCTAAACGATAAGATGCCTTAGAAGCAGGGCATTTGGGAAAAAGTGGAATTCATAAACAACGCTTGGAACACCACCCAGCCTAGCAGCTGCGAGTCAGATAATTAGGGATTGTCTATTCCGCGTAATGCTTGAAAACGAGTGCCTAGGTTCTTAATGAAGTTCAGGACCTGATTGCTACGCACTCGATGTGCGTCAGCCACTTTAAGAACGAGTCCTGCATATGTATGTGTGTGTGTTTCTCATGGGAGGGGGTGCCTTGCATAGCATTTAACTTCCTCATGAATTAGATGGGAGGTCTCTCAAGGGAGTCCTGCCTGAAGCTTGTCTGCAAGCGAGGCTTTAACTCCGTGGCCCCGGGTTGAAATAACCGCAGCCAGAAGGCCCTCCTTTCTCTCGCTGGTAAAATGCACGCCGGGACAGGGTCAAGAGGGCCGCTGAGCACTCGATGCCCCGGACATGGGCAGGGGTGCTGCCGCTTCTTCAGCATAGGATTTAGCCTGGACCACTTCCGGCAGGGTGGGGCGAAAGGCCGTGCCTGCCGTAAATATGCTGCCGCATCGCATTCAAGGCTTTGATTTGGGCCTCTCCGACCCCTCCATCCAAATGCAGAAGCCGCAGAGGAAAGCTCTGAAGACCCGGGGGATGCTCACCTCTCAGGAGATCAAGAACATTCACGTAAGCACAGGCCCCGGGCTCGGGAGGTGGCTCGCTCACGGGCGGGGGGCAGGCCGCTCGGGGGACGTGCGCCCGGCTCGGCGGCAGGGCTGAGCAGAGGGGGCAGTCGGGCCGGAAGCGTTCGCCCAGCCGCCCCTCGGGAGCCTGCGCCCAGGACATGCCCTTGCTCCTGGGTCCCGCCCAGCCCGTGCCGTTCCTTGTCCCTCTTCCCATGTTGTCTTCCACTGACGGCCGTTTTTTAAATATTGTGAATTTCGGGGGCGGGGGAGCCAATGCATGAAACTCTGCCAGCTTCATCAGCCCTTTCAAGGAGCGGCCTGCCTTGTCGCCGCTTGTTCCTCCACGGCACCCTCCAGATAACAGCATCTCTGACCGGGTTCACACAGCAGGGCAAGCCAGCAGGGTGTCTAGCCTGAATTCAGACGGCTTCCTGCAGTGGCTCGGGGGTTTTGGAAGAGGCTGCCCAGAAAGCCCATGTCTCGGTCTAGGCGTTGTTTGTGCCGCAAGGGGATGCCTGGTGCCTGAACCCAGGGCTGCAATTTGATTGTGGGTTGTGGGGAACAGCGAGGGACCCGCTCAGCAAAAGCAGCAAAAACCTCTCCCATTCTTTGGGATCTCACCTGGGCGGCCGCCGGTCCCAGTCCCTTCCCTGGCTGACCACCACCCCCCCCCCCGGTGCCAGGAAATTGTGCAGCCGTGTTCACAGTTTAAAAAATGGTTTGTCCATCTCCTGAAAGAGCCTCTTAGGACACTCCAGGACACACAGTGTGGTGAGCGGTGCTTACCTGTCAAGGGAAGAGGAGGGGTGATGGGGCACCTCAAGGGCGGGGGACAAGTCCCTTGGGCAGGTGGGGCCCCCACCCCCTGCCCAAGCTGCTTTAAATGCTTCTGTTCAAAGTTTTCCCTTGCTGGGCACCTTACCCTGGCCGTGCAAACTTCCTGGGCCGAGACGGAGACTGCCCCTTGAGCGGTTCTGACACAGGCCCCTGAAACATTGAAGTGCCCTTCCCGCGTGCCAGGCAGGAGTGGCGCTGGGGAACAAGCCTTCTGCCTTTGAATGCAGGTGAAGCGCCACCTGGAGCCCCTTCCAGCTGGCTACTTCTACAACGGGACACAATTTGTGAACTTCTTCGGAGACAAGATGGATTATCACCCACGTATCCTTTCCGGAATGTCATTGCCAGCTTTTTGCGGCCCCGTGTTCAGGTGCTCAGGTGCCCTTTAGCTCTCCCAAGAATAGGCCGCCCCACCCATAGCGGAAGTCCGGGGGGCACATGTGGGCCATGCGCTGGAGCGGCAGAGTGCCCTGCGGTGTAAGCATGCGCACGTGGCTGCCCTTCCCGTCCGCACGCCGTCCTTCTGGCCCACGCCGTGCCTGGAAGCCACCGGCCCGTTTGGGACCAGCTCTGGCTGGCGGAGAGCCTAACAGGAAGCCAGGCTCGAAGCCCCGGACTTGAGGCCACCTGGCCGGCAGGATGCTCTCGCATCGCCCGTAAGCGGGGACAGCGGGGAGCAGCCCTGGCCGCTCTGCGTGCCTGCTGTGTGCTCGCTGGCCGAGCTCGAAGGTGCGCGTCCGGAGACCCGCTTCCGCAACCCTGCCGTGCCCCTGGGCCCTCCCACGCACTGCCGTGGAGGCTGCCTTCCCAGTGGCATGTGCCCTGCGTCAATAAGCAGTCTAGGGACGGCGTTTTCCCTTGGAGGCACCTCTCCGGACCATCCAAGCAGGGCTGCCCATGGCGTCAGCCTGAGTTTAGGCCCCGCCTTCCCACGCGTGGCTTCTTTTCCTGATTTGCTTTGCCCCAGTAATGGACCAGTTCATGAACGACTACCTGGAAGAAGCGAACCGTGAGATTGAAAAGTACAACAGAGAGCTGGAGGAGCAAGAGTACCACGACCTCTTTGAACAGAAGACCTAAACGTGGCGTCCGTCCGCAACCTTAAGAAGGCACTTAAATGTTCAGTTCTAAACCAATTGTCATGACCAAGACATGGCTTTTGATCCTTCCTGGTTAACAGGAAAATGGGAAGTGAAATAACTAACTTTCAAGGGGGGGGGGGGTTTAATACATAGGCTCAAATCAATTTTGCATTTTTAAAAAAAAGTTTGGTAACTTTGCTGGCAACATTTATGTGCTGGTGCGTTTTCACATCAATGTTGAATTCAGTGATCTAGAATCCATTGGCTTACATTAGAAATACGGTGCAGGCTTTTCGTTTTTAAGCTGCATTTCCCAGGTTGTGAAGCGGCTTCTGTGTAGAGTGGCTCTTGTGTCCCACATCTGTCCTTCTTAGTATTCCCATTTGGAGTGGAGAATATTCAGGCTCCTTGTGCACCAGTGTGGCAGCAAGTTTGTGTTCCTAAAATGAGAAATGGAAAAATGTACAGAAGTTCTCAAGAACTGTGCCTAGCCAACGTGGCGATTTGGGAGGTGGTGTTCCTAAAGCGAGAAACGGGGGAACACCTGCGCTCTTGAGAGCTCCGCTTGCCCAGCACGCCGGTTTGGGTGGTGTTCCTAAAGCGAGAAACGGGGGAACACCTGCGCTCTCGAGAGCTTCGCTTGGCCAACACGCTGGTTTGGGTGGTGTTCCTAAAGTGAGAAATGGGGGAACACCTGCGCTCTTGAGAGCTCCGCTTGCCCAGCACGCTGGTTTGGGTGGTGTTCCTAAAGCGAGAAACGGGGGAACACGTGCACTCTTGAGAGCTTCGCTTGGCCAGCATGCTGGTTTGGGTGGTGTTCCTAAAGCGAGAAACGGGGGAACACGTGCGCTCTCGAGAGCTCCGCTTGGCCAGCACGCTGGTTTGGGTGGTGTTCCTAAAGCGAGAAATGGGGGAACACCTGCGCTCTCGAGAGCTCCACTTGCCCAGCACGCTGGTTTGGGTGGTGTTCCTAAAGCGAGAAACGGGGGAACACGTGCGCTCTTGAGAGCTCCGCTTGCCCAGCACGCTGGTTTGGGTGGTGGTCCTAAAGCGAGAAACGGGGGAACATGTGCGCTCTTGAGAGCTTCGCTTGGCCAGCATGCTGGTTTGGGTGGTGTTCCTAAAGCGAGAAACGGGGGAACACGTGTGCTCTTGAGAGCTCCGCTTGGCCAGCACGCCGGTTTGGGTGGTGTTCCTAAAGCGAGAAACGGGGGAACACGTGCGCTCTCGAGAGCTCCGCTTGGCCAACATGCCGGTTTGGGTGGTGTTCCTAAAGCGAGAAACGGGGGAACACGTGCGCTCTTGAGAGCTCCGCTTGCCCAGCACGCTGGTTTGGGAGGTGTTCCTAAAGCGAGAAACGGGGGAACACGTGCGCTCTTGAGAGCTGCTCCTAACCGATGTGGTGGTCAAGGTGTCTCCAAAGAGACAAGTGGTGGTACTTTTGCAATGACTGTACTCTTATTCTTTGAGCACTCCATTCCGAAGCAGTGCCAGCTGTGTAGAAGGACCACTGTGCTGACTTTGGAACATTCTTAGTAAGCTTTAACAGCAACCTGTCTGCACATTTCAACCTGAGGAGAGGTTGGTGGAGAGATCTCTGGTTTCTCCTGGAAGAAACCTCACTTCCCACCACTTGACCTTGGCTGGGACTTGGTTACCTTGCGTGGTCCATCGAGCAGTGTAGCTCGATCGACCTGAAGCGGAGCGTGTGGCCTCCAGCTGTTAGAAAAGGCAGTTTCTTTTTCAAGCGCAGTGTGTCTTACCTGGAGAACTTGCAGACATCATGAAAACCCTGGGGGTTTGTTTCCGGGGGTCCCCGTCACCTCAGCCTTGTGCTGGAGACATGTGCCCCGGCGACTAATCTTAAGGAGCATTTCCTTGTGCTTGTGAAGCACCTGAGATTCTGATGTCACTGTTACCTGTGTCCTTACACCGTATGAAAATAGCCTCTTTGTAACAAGGTCAAAAGTAATGAAGCTTTTGGAAATTTGGGCAAGGGTCGCTTCATGAGCAATCTGTCCCTATACTTGAGTGTTAAGAATTTGCGGGGGAGTGGCAGGCCAGCCCTCCAAGACGCTCGTCTCCCCAGCGCTCGGTAATCTAGAACTGAGTCGAGGGCCATTCGGTGAGGCCTGCGTGTATTTCCAGGAAATACTGTGCCTCCCTGGAGTCCTTGATGCACGAGGACACCACTTTGCGAGGGTTGGGAGCCGCTAGGAGCTGGAAAGAGGGTGCGGACACAAAGAAAATGTCACCCAGGACTGCCGTGGGGAGCCAGCAGGTCAAGGTGACTTCTTTTCAAGATTGTGTCGCAGTTCCGTGTGCCATTTTGTTTGCGTGCAGGGATTTGGGGGGCCGCTCTGAATATCGGGGTGGAGGGGATTCACACCGTGCGGTGTTTGCCCGCGTCGGCCCACAGGTGCCTGCCGCCGTTGGCAGAGCCTGGGGTTGGCTGCCCGCCATCTGGTCGCCCAAGCCGGCCACACGCCGTTGCACCCGTGACCGCCGTGATGTGGGGCACAGACCGCATGGGAGCAGTCGCTCGAGTGGCATCTGGGTTAGAAGCTGCGGGACGGAATTTCCACCCAGCACCTGTGCCTCTGGTCCTCCCTGCGACCGGCAGCCTCGCCCTCCCTCAGGCGCGTTTGAAACTCAAGTAGAAGGACGGTATTGTCCGGAAAGCCGATTTGCCCGAGCTGAAATTACAGGAATTTGGCTAGACCCCTAAAGCTGAGCCTGTGCCTTCATAAGTGCTTTATTGCAGAGAGAAATCCTTCCCGTTTTTTCTGGGCTGACCTTTTGAATCGGGCATACAAGAAGGAAGGCGTGTTGGTGGCCTGATGCGTCTCCCCCCGAGGACACTGGACTGCGGTTGCTGACGTTCCAGGTGACCCTTGCCCGAGGCCCTGGCCCAGACCCGGGGGGCACTGCGTACGCGCTGAATGTTCGAGGTGGTCTCATTACCCCTGTAAAGTTTTTTCTTTAGGGTTAAGTAACTGTTGCACTCCATGGGACATTTAACTAGCGATGATGTGATTTCGTTAGAGCTCCAAGCCAGCTGTTTGTGACTAAGCGTAGGCAAGCTTTCTGTGGATAGAGGCACCCTTATTACAGGTAACTGCGCATCCTTGTAAGGATGGTGAACTTATCTATGCATGGTTGTACCTTAGTTACTCTTAAAATTTACTGATAGTGCCTGGTAGGATAAATGTAACTAGCAATTAATTTTAAAGGAGCGGTTGGTGTGTTAAAGCTGAGTGGCCCTTGGCTGCAGGGTGTGCGTCAAAGCACAGGCGTTGTCGATGTGGCTTCTGCAACAAGCTGGGGACCTCTCTGCGGACGGCAGCTCACGTGGTCTCCAAGAGAAACTCGCTTCTCACCTGCAGCGGCCCAAGAAAAAAACGACTCTTGTCTTTGAAGGAGCCTCTGCACAGGCTGGGAAGGCCACAGAGCAGCCGCGAGCAGAGCCCCACCTCCTGATATACCTCCCGGAATGGCTCTGGTGCTGCTCCATCAGCAGGCTTCCCCTCTGGAGTCCGGCTTTCTCCGGGGAAGCCCAAGGGAGAAGCGCTCAAGGGCTGAAGCACTCTGCAAATCCGCCGTGCCACAAGCAAGACCCGCTGGCCGAGAGCGATTCCGGCAGTTGCCGGGCTCCGGGAGGGGGCGGGCTGCCTGTCCCTTTGCTGCTTCAGCCCTGCATCCCTAAGAACCCCAGACTTCTCGCGCTGCACGTGTACCTCCAGGGAAAAGACGGGCTCCTTCGTGGCCAGCATTCCCAGGGAGCCCAGCGTGGTGCTTTCGGGCACTTAGCACGGCGCATGCTGGCGTTCCGGGGAGAGCGCCTGAAACGGAGCCACAGCTTGACTGCAGAAGCCACCCCACACTTGTGTCGTCTCGAGGTGTTCCCAGGAGGTGAGCTCTCACAGCATGCTGGGCATGATCCGTGAGAAGCTCTTCCTCCTCGGGAAGCGCCCGCGGATGTTGGTGTGGGTTCCTGGTGGACTGTGCCAGGGAGTTGAGGAGGCGGGAGGAGAGAGCTTGTGTCCCAGCGGGCACCCCTGAGCAAAAGCGCCGATCGCCCCTTTTCTGTTTTTTTAAGCATAGATTGTCTATTGATCTGCAAAAGCCATATATCTAGAAATGACTGTGTTGCTACAGAGCATCCGGAAGTTGAGGCAAAGGCAGCGTGGGTGCTTTGCCTCAGCTTCTCCATCGCTAACAATATAGGTTTTAAGTGCAATTTTTATGAAATAGGTGAAGAGATTGTAGCTTACTCGACTCTGCTGAACTCCGGAACTTGCAAAGCAGCCAGTGGACTGGCACGTGCCAGTCCTTTTTCAGCCGTGCAAGTCCTTTTGGTGGCCGGCCTGCCCAGCTGCAGATGGGAGCCCCCCCAAATTAGCTTCGGCTGGTCCCTTGCCCTCCAGGGCCCCCTCCGGCAGCCGCACCTGCACACGTTCATCGCGCACGTGCAGAGTGCCTCTTTGAGAGCATGCCGTGGGGCAGCCCTCGCCCTGCGGGGAGCCGGCGATGCACCGCTGCTCTGAAGACAGACTGAGCGGCCTTCCCCGTGCTGCCGGCGCCTCTGTTCCTCGGCCGTCTGCAGCACGGGGCAGCCAGCCAGCCTGGGTCGCCCGCGGAGCCTCTGCAGGGAGGCTGATGCAGCCTCGCGAACTGATTCAGAGCAGCCCCTTCTGTGGAGCAACCACCAGAGATGTGCCCGGCCTAAACGCGGCCGTCCCTTCCGACGGCCGTGGGAAAGCCGGGCGGCTCGTCTCCGTGCGTCCGCCCCATTAACAGGCCTGTGGAGCAGGGCCCCGCGTGCTGTGCGCCCCCAACCCCGGGGACGCCGCTTGCTGGGCGTCCCACGAGCATCCCCGCTGTGGCCACGGGCGGGCCTCTTGCCACCGCCCTGCAGCTGGGCGAAGGGGCACGGGAGCATCTCTCCCCCGGCCGGTTGCGCAGGCACGTCCCGGGCGTCAGCAGAGTCCCGCGACGGGGGCATGGTAGAGCGAGTTATGTGCCCTTCTGCATGCGAACCGAGAACAGTAACCATGTGAAACTGCAAAGGCCTTTCACCATCCTGGTACGAGTGACCTATTCTCTTTTCGGTATGGAAAAATGGGTTTCGATTACCTCAGCTTTGTTGATGTTTAACTGTGATTTTTCCTTTCCTTTCTAAATGTGGGGGGTGGTGGGGGAACCAAATGGCCAAAATCCTGAAGCTGTGACGAAAGGATCCCGTCCGAGTTGTATCAGGTGCCTTGCTGGGGGCGCCGTCCACGCGTGACCCAGACCGCATGGGCCAGTGGCGCTGCGGTTCCTAGTGCTTCTGCCCTCGCTCGAAGGGAGCGGACCATTTTGGTGAAAGGACTCTGGCCCTAGCGAAGAGTATTTAGCGCACATGGTTAAGTTCTGTTTTTGTGTCTCTTTAAAAAAATAAACTCTTTGAGGACTAAAAAATGGAGAAATACTTGATCCTGCCAGTGTTGGAAAAGCAACTACTGATTTCATTTGGGACTTGCTTCAATGAACTGGCAGCATTTTTATACGGGGTGGGGTGGGGATTGAACGCTTCTTTTTTTTTTACAAGGGGGGGAACTTGCATTGCGAAGAAATATCTAGTTTTGGAAATTCTGAGCTACTGTAAAACACAAAAAAGCACCGTTTCTAGCTGCAAATATTCCAAATCAGAAGTGCCATTATGCTGCTCTTTCCGCGGTCGCCGCTGGGTGCAAGCGGCAGCGGGGCCAAGAGCGCGAGCGCGCCTCGCCTTCCGTGGAAGCGCATTGGCGAGTCCTCAAGGGGTTTCCGTGCTTGCTGACCTTCCCATTAGCAGCTTGTGTGGTTTCATATCACCCGAGAATGAGTGTGGTCAGAAGTCGCTGAAGTTATACTGCGGGGAGGGAGGGGGGGCGATAAACTTGGGAAAGAGAACGCTTGCCATCCAGACTGTGCTCTCGGTGCAGGCTTTGCGATAAGGCTGAGAACAGCCGTCCTGCGTTGAGATTCCTCCTCCTGTGACCCCCAGTTCAGCCCCGTGCGCTGGGCCACGAGTTAAAACGAGACGATTCGGAGGGGCCATGGGGCGTGCATGGGGTCAGCGCCACAGGGCTTTCTGTACAGCATTTCGCCCCACTGCTGCGCAGAACAGGGCGCATCGCCCCGTCGCCGTTGTCTCGGTGGGGACGGTGCAGGAGAACTGTGCTCGGCGTCGCTCCTCGCGCGCTCTGCACATGCTTCGGGATTCTTCCCGGAGTTCGTTCTGCTGGCAGCACAGGTGGGATCGGTGAGCTGAAACGTTCCACCGTGTTTTTTCATCGGAGATTTCTTTTTCCTGAATTTTGCACAGCTTATAAGCTCTGGAATGCCATCAGGTGTTCTTGAAAGGGAACGTCGTAATTAGCATAGAGCGGGGAGGAAATACGTAAACTGTGAGTTGTTAGAACTGCGTTGCTAAATCTAATTTTAGATGGTTAAAAATGTACCTCAGAAAACTAGTAAGAAACTGCTTTGTCCTTTTCCCAGTGTGAAAGGCTCATACAATAAATCTCCTTTTTGCCAGGTGCCAAAATTAATTTTTCATACTAGTTTTCAAAGCATTAATATTTGCAACGTTCAGTAAAATGTGTTATTTTTACAAACTCTACTGTAACTTCAGTTAAACTGAAATGTGTGATTGAAGCTTTTTTGCTTATTCGTATTTATTACACTACTTGATTCCGTGAATATATAAAAGTACCTTTTCCCTTTATTTTTGTATTATTTTACACGTTTATATCTGCTGTTTGTGATTATTATTTTTTACACTTGTAACTTGGATGCCATTCTAAAAAACCAATAAATTATATCCGTCTGTGGAGCCGAGTCCGTCTTTTGTATCCCCCTCTGAGTGAGCGCAGTTTGGCTGGCTGGCTTGAGCCGTCAGGTGCGGTTCCCTCGGCAAGTACCTGTGATGATTCGTGGCCTGCACTAGGCTCGTGGCCTGTGCTGCAGAAGCATGGCGGAGCTGTGAGTGGATCGTGCATTCTGGGCAAGGGTGGGCCACACGCTCAAAAATATAAAGTAATACCATATAATGACATAATAGCGTCCAATGCACAACAGCTCCGCCTCCTCAGAAGACAGGTTGCCTTCAACGCTGCTCATCCTTGGCCTGGTCTTGGCCCGTCCCGCGCATGGGAAGGTCTCTGTTGCTCCAGGATAGTCTTGCCCAGGTCGGATCCATCCAGATGTGTTGCACTGTGACTCCCGTTGCTGCTGGGGAGGGAGAGCAGAGCACAGCTGATTCCTCTGCCCCCCCCCCCCCCCCATGGAGGAAAACAGGCTAGTCTGGTGATGTGGGGCACCCTCCTGGGAACACCCCCCCCCACACGCGTGCGCATACCCCTGTGCCCCAGAGCATCCCACTGCTGCATCCAAAAGCAGGAAAGCCGCGTTTCGCCGTGCCCTTCGAGAAAAGGACGGGCAGCTGGCGAAGTGGCCTTCACCAGAGTGGCGCTCAAGAGGGAGGAGCTGCCTCGGCCGACTCGGGAATCCCGCAGTTGCACGGAGCTGCAGTGGGAGAGGAAAGGGGCTGGTAAAGCAGGCCGGGCGGGAGGGAGGCCGGCGTGTGGGCATGGGCAAAGGGCGGGCCTTGCCCGGAGTCCCTCCTCCCGCCGTCAAGCGGAGAGGACGGCTGCACCACTGCTAGCCAAGGCGAGGTGGGAAGCCTGTGGGTTTCCGGGTGCTCTTGGACTGCAGTTCCCATCAGCCCTAGCCAGCAGAGCGCATGGTGGGAGACGCTCGGAACAGTGGTCCAGCATCCTCTGTAGAGTCCCGTGTTCCCCATCCCTTATGACTCCTTTGTCACCCCACTGAGCAGATGCCTTTCTTGGGGTCAGGAGTATCTTCGATGGGGAGCTGTCTGCAAACTGGCTGGGCTGAAAACCGGCTTGCCTTTCGGTTTTGCAGGAGGCCCTCTTTTCCGGTTCATTCTTGGGGGACGGGGAGGCTGTACGCGTGGGGCGGAAGGGCCGGATCGTGCTGGCCGGAGCAGCAGAGGCTCTCGTCGCCTCCCTGCACACGCGGCCCCAGGGTGCCGTCTCCTTCACTGCTTGGAGGCCCGGAGGGTGGCAAGGAGGACCCTGCTGCGGGGGCAGCTCTGCCTCGCCATTCACACGTGCAGCTGTCCCTGCTTTGCCTTTGCACGGATCTCTGAAAGGGTCCCGTTTTCTCTTCCCTAAGCCGAATGAGGCAGCCTTCGCCTGGGTGTGTGGTGGTTTTATCTCAGCAAGAAGCACTAACCAGAGAAGCGGCATAGTTTACTCTGTTAAAGCTCCCTTTCTCCTAGGAAGCTGCTCTTTATGTTCAGGATTGGGGAAAAGCAGCTCATGGGTTCTCAGCATGGCAGCCTGTGGTTAACCCTTGGCTGTGCTTAACCCATTCAACCCGAGTGTGGTTTCTCATACTTTCTGAACCCAGCTGGAGACCTTATTAACCTCTCTCACTTGCTGAATACAGAAGGGGCTAGTTCATCCAAACATGTAAAGAACCTACACACATACAACAGGGATTATTATTATTATTATTATTATTATTATTATTATTATTATTATTACATTTTTATACTGCCCATAGCCAAAGCTCTCTAGGCAGTTGACAGCAATAATCATAGAATCATACAGTCAAATCACCTATCCCGCTTCTGCCCAGGCCTGACCCTGCTTAGCTTCCAAAATGAGGCAGGATCAGGATCCCTGATTGTTTGGGCTGAGCCTACCTTTCAAGACTCGTACGATGAGAAGAACTTGCCGAGGCGGCTCTCTGTCTTGTGGGCTTCCCGCTGCCTGCTGGGAAGCCCACAAGCAAGTCTGATACAGTGGCCCACACCCGCTGATGCCCCCCAGCACCCGGCTGGGAAAGGCATGCTGCCGTTGACCAGCCAGCCGCTCTCCTGGCGTTATCGTTCCTCTCTGTTCAGACCTCCTGCTGGCCCTGGGCCATTGGGAATGGGGCCATTGTGCCCAACGGGGCTGCATTCGGCTTCCCACTATCCCAAGGGGTGCCACAGGGTTCTGTCCTGGACCCAGGGCGCTTCACCATCTTTATCTATGACTTAGATGAGGAAGTTCAAGGGAAGGCAATCAGATTTGTAGATGATACAAAACTGGGTGGAATAGCAAACACCCTAGAGGACAGAATGCAGATCCAGGGTGATCTTGATAAACTTGATAAACACTGGGCTGAAAGCAAGAGAAGGGAGATTCAATAAGGACAAGTGCCAAGCCCTGCACCCAGGAAAAAGAAACCAAAGGCATCGATACAGGATGGGGAACACATGGATCAACAGAACTGAAAAAGATCTTGGAGCAATTGTGGACATCAGACTAAACATGAGCCAACAACGCGATGCAGCCGCCAAAAGGGCAAATGCTATTTTGGGATGCATTAATAGAAGTGTGACTTCTAAATCACAGGAAATAATACTTGCCCTATACACTAATCAGACCTAAGCTCGAATGCTGTGTCCAGTTCTGGGCACCAAGATTTAAGAAAGATGCAGGGAAATGAGAAAGTGTCCAGAGGAGGGCAACAAAAATGATCCAGGGTTTGGAAACACTGCCCTATGAGGAGAGACTGAGAGAACTGGGCATGTTCAGCCTTGAGAAGAGAAGGTTGAGGGGGGGCATGGTATCCCTCTAGAGGTCCCTCAAAGGCTGTCACAAAGAGGAAGGTCAAGGTCTCCTCTTGCTGACACCAGACTGCAGGACACAGAAGAATCAAGTCAAGTTGCGGCAACCCAGATTCAGGCTGGGCATCAGGAAAAGCTTCCTCACTGTCAGAGCAAGACGGCAGTGGAACCAGCTGCCTGGAGGGGTGGGGGGCTCTCGCACGCTGGAGACATTCAAGGTGAAACTGGACAGCCCTCTGAGTGGGATGGTGTGACTTGGTGTCCTGCAAGAGCAGGGGGTTGGACTCGATGGCCTTCCAGGCCCCTTCCAACTCTTCTATTCTGTGATTCTATGATTCTAAGAAGGGGGTCATCCCATAAGGGCGTGTGGTGGGAGACTCTGGACAGATCAAGGGAAGGACCTTTTCAGGCAGTGCCTAGTCAGACTATGGAATTCACTTGCACAAGATGTAGGGCTGGTAACCAGTTTGGACAGCTTTAAAAGACTACCAGAGGCTGCTAGTCCTCATGGTGTTATGCAGCCTGCTGGCTCAAAGGCAGAACGTACACCAGTTGCTGGGGTACATGGGCAGGAGGGTGCTGGACTGGATGAACCCTGGTTCTGATCCTATAGGGTGCTTCTAACGCTCTTACGCACTGCACATTCTTGAACGGCTGTGAGCACAGGACACGCGGTGTGTAAATGGTACATGAAAATTAAGTCCAAGGCATTGCATGTCCCCATAAAAGGGCACCAATGCTTCCTCAGCAATGGAAATTAAAACACTCGACAATACAGGACGTGTGTAACTTCTCTGGTTTACACGCCATGGCCACCCTCCATGGGCGATCACGAGGCCTGAAGCCAGCATGGTTTCACCACTGCAGCTTAGTTTTCGTGAGCAAGCCACTCGGAGCATCCCTCGCTTGCTGCTGAGCTCTGGAGGGCGGCTTGTTGTTGCTCTCTGGACCGGGCCCAGCGGCTTTGGGACGGCTTGTCGGAAAAGGCCTCCGAGGCCCGTGGCAAGAAGGAACTAACCCCTGAGCGCAGCGGTGTGACAGCCGTCTCCCCTCCCTTGGCAGGGCCTTTCCCCGGCACTCCTGTAGCTGGGGGAGAGAGAAACCCAAGCACATCTGCCCCGTTTTCTCATTTCCAGATGTGGAAGTCCACTGCTACAAAGTCCCTGTGATTTCTGCTCGACTCTGGCATTCATGCTTTTCGAGCGATCTGGCATCCTGCCCTAAAATGCACATGGGCATTCGGCAGCTTGCAACCGAGGCCCGTGGAGGTAAACAACCAGCCTGGAGAGTCAGGGGCCCACAAAACTGCCTGCGACTGCAAGGTGGAGCCCTTGAGGGGCGGAAGCAGCTGTGATGGCGGCAAGTCAGCCTTGAAGCAGCCCTTAAAATTTGGTGTTCACCAGCAAGGGAAGAGCAGCCCTGGGAAACGAAAATGACAAGAGGGAACGGATTCTTGCACCTGGCGTAGAGATGGGTAAAGGTTGCAAGCACATGGATGCTTTTGTAAGCGCTCAGGAAATGGGTTCCGTTTTGCGAGTGGGAACGGCAACCCCAGCAGAACTGTGGGAAAGGGTGCTGACCTAGGGAAGGAGGAAACGAGGGTTTCTGCTGCAAAGGTCCCTGGGATGCCATGCTGGGATCCGGCAGCAGGGCGAGGGAGGAAGTGGGGAGAATATCACAGCAAGCCGAAAAGCAGCCGTTCGTCTTTATTCCTGTAATTATGACAGTCCCGTGATTTAAATGCATTGAAATGCAAAACGAGATATACTCAGAATATTTGCTTCTGGGAGGAACATCAGGGCATGTGTGACAGGATAAACATTTTCATTATCAGGGCTGGCAAACAGTTTTTAATGTTGCTGTTATTCTAACAAACAGAAACCAAGAAGCTGTTGTCAAGAGTAGAATTTCAAGGGAGGGGCGGAGGGCACACCGGTGATCCGCTTTGCAACAGAAATAATTTAAGTCCATGCAGTCCCGGGTCCAAAATTACTCAGCTCCACCACTAACTTTTTGCAGGGAGGGCTATTGACAAGTTACTCAACCCCGTTTGGAAAAACAGATGTGACCTGCCAAGGAAATCAGTTCTGACCCTCAGGGAAATAGCTTGCAGCTTGGCACATACGTAAATTTTACGACGCTCAGATCCCTGGTGTCCAGATCACACGGTTTCATTTCCGATTCCTCCC